AAATAACCTCATGCGATTTAAAAAGGAGTTAGGAAGCAACACTTTGTGAAAACCAGCGGAACTTGAACTGAACTGACACGTTTTGTGTAATGTAAAAGAAAGGAAACAGTTCACACGGCTGCCTCAAAATAAATTTAAGGTTTTGGACAACAGTGTTTTGACTTGTCACGTATTGACAGACATGGTTCGAGTTATCGAGGGTAAATTATAAAGAAAAAGACTTGAAGGGAAACGAAAATTGGTTCGAGTTAGCGGAAGTTTCGAGTTATCGAGGGTTCGAGTTACCGAGGGTAAAATTACAGTGAATGTAGGACGGAAATCCATGGGAAATCGATTTTGGTTCGAGTTAGCGCGAGCTTCGAGTTAGTGAGGGTTCGAGTTATCGGGAGTTGACTGTACATTTTTTCTTTTCAATTTGCTATATACATGTTACACCGTAAGAAATAAAACAATATCGCAATTCAAAATTTCACGCTTAAAGTAGATACATAATTAATATAGAAAATGTTGTTTATCGTGGTTTATAGATAAATGAACATTTAACCGTCTTTCGCAGGAAGTTAGAGGCTAATCATTCAACTGCTATACTGCTAGATGTTATTAGTATCAAGTCTTATGGGAATGACTTTTTTAACCGTTAGTGTGTTACCAGTGAGTCATGATCGATAAACCTAACCTGACTAACCTGGTCCCCAATATTGAGTGCGAGCCGCATACCTCTTTCATATTCTTTTATTCTCTATTTCATCGCTCTCCCTGTTCCCCCAATGTATACTTTACCTCATTCACACGGGATTTTGAAATAACGCTGTCCCGTTTCGCTAACTTGATGGAATCTTTAGATCGCTCCAAGAGTGATCTGAGCGTCGTGTCAGATTTCAAGACGATGCGCACGCATCGTTGCCTCCCTTGTTTAAGGAAAAATATTTTAAACTGTTTAAAGCTGTTAAAGGTCGATATGGTAATGCAGGAATGGTGGTTATAATTGGTTCAAATCACGCTCAAAGTGTGACGGTCCGTTATTGCAGACTGCGACAGCTTTTTATATTACGAAGTGCGACAAGAGTTATTACAAAGGGCGACAGGTCTTACAAAGTGGGCGATTGTGCGTAAGAACTTGACAGTGGTTGAAGCGTACTTTTTAAAATAAATCTGTTTATTGAATTCTTATTTGTAGGAAAGAGAGGACTTTCAGGAGCACCTGATGCAAGCTGATTCCGAATCCGAGGCTTATCAAATACACCTAGAACGACTTCACGCAGTGAGTTATTTGTAAATTCTGCGATTCAGCAGCACTCACAATACAGACGTAATCCGTACAGAGGCCACCGGTTCGATGTCGCACAGTCCCACCCCTCCATCCTGCCCTCCTTCCCTCCTACCCCTCTCCTTAATGAAATGTTAGCCCCCCTTAAAATTTAATAGAAAACAGAAAAGCTATTGAAGTTGATAGTGTTAATCTTTTCGTGTTGAAACCTCAGGATAACATCATCATTTTCTAGTTGAGCTAGCTTGCGTGTTTTCTCTCAATGAATGCCTGTCTAGATAGATAGATAGATAGATAGATAGACAGATAGATAGATCACTTTGTTTATACACGGTAAATTCCACTCAGTCGTATACAAGCAATATACCTACAAATGTAAAACTTAAAACTATATAATCATTATAAAATATATACAAAGATTAAAAGCCTTATCTAAATGAACTGAGCTAACTTCTTATTAGAATGAAAATAAAAGTACTGCTTTTCAGGGACGCCGTGTCATTAGTTCACTCAAAACTAAAGTTACTTAGCTTCGTCTTAAACTCACCTAATGTTTTAGATACTCTAATAGCAGTCGGAAGGCTATTCCACAACGCGGCACCGCTATAAGAGAAACTTTTACGAACATAATCGGTACGAGGCTGCGGAAGAGCCAGCCTCATTTCACTATTTCGCAATCTATAACTAGTAGTATCATTACGAAAGATGAATTTATTTGATAAATAATCAGGTGTCTGTCCATTTAGAATTTTGAACATCATAACGGCTTTGGCAAAAAGCCTCTGATTCCTTAGGTTTTTCTTAGGTTTTTAGCAATTGCCTAATTACAAGTTGTATGAGTCCCCTCCACTAGAAAGGTGAACCCTCTCAACTGTGCCTCGCTTCCAACGTGTGGCTCTGGTGCTCACTTGATAGTAGCGCTTAATTAGTGNGGCACTTCATTAAATCGAGGTTCCACTGTACATTCTATCTTATGATGATGAAATTCTAATCCAATTTTTTGCCGAATTTTTTATTTTTGCTTTAATATTTCACGTTTCGTTTTGATTTCATTTTTAGGAGTTCGATGCTGAGAAACAAAAACATTCCAGAGAAAAAGATTTGCTGTTTAATAAAGCAGAAGAACATCGCGTGAAAGCAAGAAAGTTTGCCGAAGAACTAAACAGTCTAAAACAGAACCATTTTCAAACAAAACAAGAAGTACGTGTTTGTACAACGATGAAAAACAGTTATTTCTGTATTCAGGATCACTTTTTTACATTTATTAATTTATTTATCTACTCATTTATTTTATTTGATTATAGCTTAATTCGCTCAGAGAAACGCTTGTGAAAGATATGAAAGAGTTAAAGGAACACATCGAAGGAATGGCGACTGAAATGATATCAGTAAGTCAAATATTCCCCCTGAGAGATGCTGAGTCAGAAATATGTTAAATTTTTTGATCGAAACAAAATTTTTATGAGCGGAGTTATATAGATAGGTAATCTCCTTTGGTGTTTTCAATCCTTTTGTGTGATTAATCTGCTTCTGTTTCGTAACTTCTTCAATTTAATGTATTACTGTATCCATATATCCATAAGATATGAGGAATACTTTTGAAAAGACATAATTCTCATATATTCACAGTCATTTATTCATCACTTCACGGGTTAATTACGAACCAACACAATGACCAGCTCTCAGTTGGTAGAGCACGAACGCGTTTCATTTACAGGAATTGGTTCGAAGCTTGAAGCAAGTTGAAAATTCAAACGAAGCAGCAACTGCCGAATTTGAACGACTCCGAGACCAGAAAGAAGAAATGGATGTTCAGTTTGCTGCATTACAACAATCGATCAATTCAGTGAGGACTTGTTCGATTCAAAATGACAGTTTAATAGCGCATAATTTTTATGTAAGCTAGTCTAAACTTTGCAATTTTGAATTTTTCATACTTAACGAAGAAGGTAGGTTTTTGTTTTCATACAGGCCCTAAAGATGGCATTCATGTAAACGTTTCTTGTGGTCACGGTCATGTTATGAGAAAAATTATTCTTAAATTATTGTTTCAATACTGGCAGGCCAAGAATTTGGCACTGAAGGAGGAGAGAGAAAGAACTGAAAATTCCAAGAGAGAGGTGAGGCATATAAAAATACCAATGTGAATTTCAGGAGGGATGTCGTAATTAGTAGGTTACAGAAGAGGTTGGGATTCTTGCCTTGTGTGTATTTTCACATCTATAACTTCTTTTCGTGTCTTTCAGAAAGAAGACGCACTAATCAAAGAAAAAGGAGCAATACTTAAGCAGCAACAGAGTTTTCTACGAGTAGGTTTGAACTGATTGTCACATTTTGCAGAGCCTACCGCAGGGGTTACAGGATTCAGAAATTAATAGCCTGGTTGGGTTTTGTGCTCTTCTCAGGCTCAAATTAGAAAACAGATGTCAACCAGGGCAGATGTCCTAGAGGAGGAAAGAAAAAAGGCCGAGGCTTCCCTTGAAGGACTAAAGAGCAAACTAAAAAACTTGGAAGAGGTACATTGAATGCTACGAGTGCAATGATAATTATGGCTCTAGAATACTCCAATTTTTCTTGTTAACCGTTAAGTCTTCACCTTTGATCGGAGACCGTAAGGTTATGGGTCTACTTGGCTCTACTAAGACTTTGAGCTCGAGCTATCCCCGAAAATGTGAAGCACTGGGCGCGTGCGAAACTGCCTTATTTTCTCGAGAAAAGCAACGAAAATCACGACAACATCACATGAGGGGTTTGGTGGGATTGGCGTAATAACATAAATAAGTAAATTTACAAGCGAGAATTGTTTAAGTCGAAAAGGATTTAATCACAATTCAGAGAAATCATTTAAATTAAGAAACAGTCAACTGAATGATCTATTGTGATAAAAAGATCCCCGCATAAAACGTTTGAATTTTAGAAAGTTAATGTTCCATTAAAAAAAAATATTTTAAACTTTTTTAGTTGATAACCTTTACGAGGTATGTACTCTTTTTAAGTATTTCGCATAAAACCTAAACTCAAATCTCAAAATTAGCAGTCGAATTTGTTCTAGAGTTTTCCGAGATTTTAAAAGAACCCTATTCCTTTTCTTTTTGGTGTGGTCATAGTGTACTCATTGAAACGTTTTATGCAGGGATCTTTTTTAAAAGATATATTTCCGTCAGAAGCAGTTATTTAAAGTTTTTTTTTTTACTTTTGAGTTGATACAGAAGATGCTTGGGGTCTTTTTTTAATTTTCAGGTTATATCGAGGAAAGACGTCAGCGTGCAGGACTTCCGTTATAAAGTAAGAACATTTATGAAACTTTCACTTATTTACTCTGAGTTTTACTGATGGAAACAACTTTCCTACTATATAACTGCTGTCAACTTTCCTACTATGTAACTGCTGTCAACGTTCCTACTATATAACTTAATTAATTTAATTTAATCGCTTCGCCAACCGGCAGGGACACCGCAACAGCTTGCACCAATTACTGCGGACCCAATAAACCCACCCATCTCACCCCAGGGGAGGACATCCATCACACAGTAATCTCGTGTGTGGGAAATTAACGTCTCCGTACCCCAACCCTGCAGGAGACGGGACCTCCATTTATTCGCCCCAATCCGAGAAGATTGGAATATCTAACCATTTCTTGATGTTATAGAAAGGCAGCAAATTCTTCTCAATTATTTTAAGACCTTGAGTGTTGGTCCGACCGGGGCTCGAACCCTCGACCTCCCGCACAACAGTCGAGCGCTCTATCCATTGAGCTAACCGGGAGCTAACCGGGAGGCGGTTAAACTGCTGTCAACTTTCCTACTATATAACTGCTGTCGACTTTCCTGCTATATAACCGTTGTCGACTTTCCTAGTATATAACTGCTGTCGACTTTCCTACTATACAACTGCTGTCGACTTTCCTACTATACAACTGCTGTTCCTACTATATAACTGCTGTCGACTCCCTCTTTACTCTTTGTAGCTCTTGAGGGACAGATTTGAAACAGAGAAAGCTGCAGACTCTAACAAACAAATTGACGAACTGAGAAGACGATTACGCCAACTAGAAGACGAAAAGGATTTAATAGCAAGTCAAAGGAATCATTTGGTTGCGTTACATGAAGACAGTAATGCAGAAAGCTTGTCACTGAACTTCAAAGAAGAGCTGAGTAGAAGAATCACGAAATCGATTTCCATCAGACCCAGACGCTCTCTTGACTCTCTTACCGATGGGAAATTTTATGCAAGACCTGTGAAACATGACGTGGAAGTTCCATGCCGTGATGTTGTGGGTCAAAACACAAGTTTGCCTCTTCGTTTACCTGACAACACTTCACTTGATCGACTTGAACTTAACTCTGCGTCACATGACGTAGGGGACCATAAAGGTGTTTCCAGCGTTGGCCTGGACTACGGGATGAGGAACACAAGGATCGTGACCGAACAAAACCAGGGTTTGGAGGAAAACGGAAATCCTTCAGACGATTCACTTAAACAAAGTGCGGTAAATTCGTCTTCGCCAATGTTGAGAGAAGATCTATCAGATGATTTTGGTGACAAAGATTTACCTCTTGCTTCAATTTCCAAAGAAATTGAAACGGATAACCTAAACCCGACTGCAGCTAATCCAACATCTGACCGTCAGAGACTCGTGCGACGGATGAAGGAGCAGCAATGGAAACCTGACAGGAATGCAGTTCGTTCCAGTAGAGGTGAGGATTTCATAGTGCTCCTCTCGTATTTAGCCCAAAGACTCTTTGTTACAAGTATACGAGGTATATGCTTGCTTTTAGAAGAGTTTTTCAAATCACCATTAGTGACAATTCTAAGATAACGTTTGCTCTTGTTTAATCGTTTAGATATTTCTTCATCGACTTTCGCTGATGACAAAAAAATCGAGGTAAGAAAAAGAGAGAGAATTAATATAACACTTTACATGAAGGAGTAGTTTGTTTTTCTCATCTTAAATTTCAGTGTAGTGGTAAATTCTAATGGACCACTGAATTTTTTAAAACATTTCTTGAAACACAGCTGTCGATCTCGCTTCTGATAGATGAGATCGCATTCAGTAAAGGTGAGAACTTTCACATGGGCCCGTCCCTGAACTGACAAGTTTTTAAGAAGGTATGAATCCCAGGATGTAAGACTGTGAAAGTGTAGTGTGATCGTCCGGGTGAGTGTAGTCCTGAGAAGGACTGTTGTTTGTGGTGGTGACTGACGTTTCGGCAACCTGTGCGGAAGTCATCATCAGAGTCAAGTGACGATCCTGACTACACTCTCACATGTTACCCCCGGGTTCAAACCATTTACTGCAGGTAAAAGACTGTCTTGCATGAGTTTGCAAGGGATTCCGGTAAACTTTTGATGTATTTTAAACTTTGCACGATGATTTGATGAGTTAAAAGAGTTTTTTTTCCCATCTGAGAAATGCAAAAGTTGATATTATGGGAAATCTTCTGTTGAAGTCTTCATTGGTATATTATCTACCTTCGAATGTGACGAGGAAAATAGTGACTTTGAACAGCTATTCTTCTTATTCTTCTTATTCTTCTTATTCTTCTTATTTACCTATTCTTCTACGAATATCAATCACTTTCTTGTATCTTTTAGTTTCTGTCCTCAGTTCATCGCATAAAGAATGAAAAGGTCAAAGAGCTTGAACTCAGCATGCGGAGGCTGTTCTTTCCATGACTTCCGGAAAGTTTCAAAGACTTTTAAGTTTCTAGGATAATGTTGAAAACCCCTTCTTACAACGTCGCCAAGAGACAAAGGGTGTTAAATCTATCGAGTGGCGATGTGTTCCAACAACGTAGGAAAAAAAGGAAAAGCAAAGATGGAGGACTTTCAGCCAAGAAGGAAGGCGAGGAAAAAAATGGCGAAAAATATATATTGTTTACTTTGACAAAACTGTGGCCCGATTTGAGGGCTTGATAAACACAATAGCACAGTTTACGTGTCATGCCTTTTTAGTTCAACAGAAAGCGTCTCATAGGCATGTGGGTTCAAGTCCTTCTGCTACTCCTCAGGGAAAAATCATTCGTGAAGAAATTTAACTGGTGGAAATGATCCGGCCCGTGATCATGTGCATTCGTGAAGAATTTTAACTGGTGGAAATGATCCGGCCCGTGATCATGTGCATTCGTGAAGAAATTTAACTGGTGGAAATGATCCGTACCAAGCTTAGGTAGAGTCAATGTATTTTTTCATGCTCTCTCAAATACAGAATGACCAAGAAAATGTGTATCAGTAAGCGGACGAAATAGCTTACTATGCCGCTGGATATTTTTTTATTTCTTTGGCTTGTGGTTATCTTTGAGCACTATGACAAAAGTTATTTTAAAAGAAATGTAGGAAAACGTTTAAAAATTGAAACTTTTCGGAGCAGATATATTGTGTTTATTTGCTATTTTCACTCTTCATGACTCAATGCGCATTTTTCAAAAACTAAATGCAAAATCGTGAGTTGTCCTCTGCTCTTGTCTAGTGCGCTTCCCTTAACTTAAAAAAATCCGATACGACGGCGTCGTTTATCGATAATTATTTCGCAAAAACATTTCATTCCTCCTGTGCAATAGAATATTCACAATAAGATCACGAGCTAGTGTTTTTTTTATTTTCCAAGAATGACATTCCATGAAATTTCCAAGTGAAAGAGGTCACCACCTTTTATGAACTTGAAGAGCACTGATAATTTTTCTATACTACCGAAGGTTTTTCGCAGTTCTTTTTCCAACTGAACTCAACTGTGAAAACACAAAGTAGTCATGAAAACCTTTTTAACGTGTTCATATACTGGCAGTTGGCTTTGAAAGACTTTAGTGAAGGCGAGAGTAAGGGGAGATGGGAGGGGAGAAATTAGTTCATGTAACATTCCCTGCCATCCTCCCCTACTTCGTTTTGTGACTGAATTTTGTGATCGATGTCGAAAATATTCATGCACCCATGGATGCAAAGGGATAATGAAAAGTTCAGCAATCAGCTGATTCCCTTAGAGAGGAAAATGATACCTGCAGGAAAGGTTCCCATATTTCGCTTTGTTTAATCGAGGCAAAAGTAGGGGGCGAAACACTCACGACAGGGGAGTGCAAAAAATGTGCATCCCTTGCGTTAGCCTCTGATTACCAAAATAAATCTGTTTGGAATAGTAGTCATATTCAAAATGGCAGATATTAGATCTGAGCCCGCATAAAAGCGGTTTTGTCTAAAGATGCACGGAATCGAGGCGCTTGGGCGAAAGGCTTTGTAAATCCTCGAAGTTATCACTGTACTTTTCAAAACCACTCGGATTTTACGCTAGTTTTTTTGCTTTTATCGACAATCTAAAGCATTCAAAAGGCAAAGATAGCAATGGTTAGACATTGGATGCAACAACCGAAGAGAATAAACCACTCTGCAAGCATCTTTCGTGGCATTCACTGCCACTGAGCTACAAGAAACTTCTGGCAACTTGGCTAGTCAAGATTAAACGGGAAAACACGCCCGAAAGTAAAAAAATTCCTTTTATGCAGTGAACATTTTGAAAAGGAAGACTTCTCCAAGTCATGCTGGCCGGAAAGTAAGTCTTAAGTCAGACTCAGTTCCGACAATATTCAGTTTCTCCGAGCAGAAAACCAGAGGAAGCTTAAGGCACCGAAAGAAAGACACTCGAATGATGATGACTTTCCGGCCAAGATGTTTGCAGTGTAGTTTATCGCTCTGGTTGTTGCATCCGAATGCAATACAATGTCTAACCATTGCTATCTTTGCCTTTTAAATGCAATAGATTGTCGATAAAAGTAAAAAAATAACGTAAAATGCGAGTTGTTTTGAAATATACAGTGATACCTTTGAGAATTTACAAAGCCATTGGCTTAAGTGCCTCGATTCCGTGCATCGTTAAACAAAATCGCTTTTTCGCGAGCTCAGATCTAATATCTGTCATTCGTGCGCTTAAGTAGGTGTTTTTCTTGTCTGAAAGGAGAAGAAGCCCCGGGTAATTTGGTTATTTATGGTCAGTGCATCATGGGCCGCAAACAGAACCAGTGCCTCGCAGATTTTTTCGGGTGAACAGCGCTACTTTAACTCTAATGCACTTACGAGCATGAGAACATAGAATCACGAGACATCTTGAAGGACGGGGATTACAGAGGTATTAATTGAAAACAAAAAATTATCTGTTTGGAAAAAAAAAACAAAAAAACAAGCCCTGAGCCAAAATAGCACTGTTTGTGGCAAACTCTTTCTGTGACACTGCGTGTAACTATTCTATCGCTTTGTTAATTCTTTTGCCGTTGTATTTTTTAACATTTTATTATTTTTTTCCTGTGTTTTCGTGTCTCTTAGGAATTATTTCATTAGTAAACAAGCACGATTGTAATTCACTTTGATTTGATAACGACGTAAAACTAACGTAATTTTTCTAAAAAATAAATTTAACCAGGACTTTATTTTAACTTTTTCGGCATCGTCTTTTTTTCATTTATTTTGATTCTCTTTATCGCTGGACCAAAAAGATGGGCACACCTGTACTTCGACAATCAAGTCTGGTTAATTGACGTCAAGATTCCTTAGTTTGTCTTATTATCACCTTTCAATTAATAAAAGTAAACTAAAATTAAAAAGCGTGCAGAAGCCCCCTCAAAGATCCTTCAACGTGCCAACGTTCCATCGCGGAATGTTGATCACCCACCTTCCCACCTTGAGGCACTATTTGACTTTAGTTTCCTCGACAATTGACATTGTAGAACTGAGAAAGGACAAACTCTAATCAAATTTTGGCCAAAAACAACATATTTTTTCAAGAATTTAAAGACGAGACAGCACTGTTGACAAGAGAAAAATGAAGCTTTGTGGACTGCATTGGATAGAAGAGATACATTGAAAAGGAAACTTTGCATCAATTGTTGTTTCAGTTGTTGTTTTAAGAAGAAACAGGAACACCGTGCTCTCTCATTCAGCCAATGTTTTTACAACGAACATAAAGCTCTATCATCGTTGAATTATTCAGAGAACCGAGGAACAGAAAGGTCTAACGGATTGCAATAAGTATCTGACGTCAAGACATAGGCAAGAGCTTTCGGGCGTGTGCTTGTCACAGTTTGGTTTTGTTAGGCAAATTGGCACTGGAAGCACCTGGAGGTGTTGTAGTCGGACGAGAAGATGCTTGCTTTTTATCTTTGGAAACTGAAATTAACTTAAGATTCTCCCACAGATAAAGTTTAAAGTGAACGTGGTAATAGCTTCTTTTTTAAGCATTATTTTCCCCGCTTAGAGCGAACATTATCATGTCGGTAAGCGCATATGTGAAAGCAAATTATGCTCTGTAAACATTTTTGTTAAACGAAATAATGCAACTGCTCTATCAACAGGTTTATCCACAAATATGCTGACATATATCAAATAACGCAACAATTGCCAGAGAAATATTAGCAATTTTACAATTTTAGATATATAGAGGAGTTGGTTTCCAAAAAACCATATGGATTTTCTCGAAATGTCGGCACATACATAAGCAGTTTAACTCTATTTCGTATTTTAGGCTCTCGCTTGCTCCCACCAGAATCTTGCGAAAATAAACAGATTTAGCAGCTGTGTAAACACGGGTTTAGATAACTTGTATTTGTGGTTAAAACCTCGTGTTTGTATCATCTGTTTAAATCTTTGTTAAACAAAATTTAAAGGGATTACGGGAGGTTGCGAATCATATAACCGACTCACTTGTCCTTGCCTGTATTCCATGAAATTGTCTTTTTTTGTTCCGTCTTTTTGCGTGTGTGTGCTTTTCACAATATTCACAATCGAATTGCGCATCGAATATTTATCTCTACAAACAAATGAAATCAATTCAAGGAAGACAGGTTCAAAATAGCACTTATCGGCCGTGTAGGTGTAATAAGATATAAGAGAGCAGATCTTTCATTTGCGCGCTTCTCTGTACAAAACAACTTGCTTAATTGAATTGGGGTTTAAGTGTTTGGAGGCCGTGTTTGTTCATATTCTAGTTTGTTTCAATGGAATAAAATCGGCGTTGTTGAGGAAAAAGATGCAAGCTAGAAACATGTGTACAGATCGGTTTGACAGTGATTTGAAATATCAATATCAAATACCTTTGGCTAGCTTAATGTGGCTTTAATGATAAAAGCAAAGAGGAAAACTCAAACACAGCATAGCATTCTTGAAGCTTCCTTTTCAGTTTAGCACAAATTGATCTAAAACCTAATGATGATAACTAAATGGAACAAAGAAATCTTTTTGCCCATCTCTTAAGTGCCAACAGAGAGTAAGAACATAAGAAAACCGAATTCGTTCCTAAGAAAGGGAAAAAAAAAGAGATTTCATATTTGATAAGAGCTTAAGAGGAGGAAAAAATGCGAGTCTTCAATGAGGAAGACCTTTCAGATCCATGGTCGCATGTCATAATCCTGAGTCGCACAAAAGTGGTTGACAGCAGGTATTTCATGGATGCACGTATATGGCTACGACTTCCCCGTAGCTTGACGCAAGAGCTTCTGACGGCGAAATTACAAGATCTGAGGTGGAAATCTGTTAGGATTCATATCTTGTTTCTTCATGCGAAGTTCGGGATCTCTTCAGTGAAAAATATTATTTGAGCTCGGGAAAGAGCATGCCCAGTCCTCGTTTAATTATAAATTTCTTTTTGTTAAATTCAGAAAAGCGGGAATTTGAGTCATTTGTGCTACAAATTATTTCTATTATTTCTCATGTTTCTAAAAAACCATTCAACAACAGCTGTAATAAATCACAGATCGCCATTAGCATGGCATGTAATTTGTCATGAAAGACATTAGGAGCAACCTAACTTTTCTTATTGTAATTCATTGTATGTGATTGTATGTGATTGTATGTGATTGTATGTGATTGAGGGGCCGAGATAGGGCGGTAAGATTTAAAACTGATACTGTCATCGCTTTGATGATGACCATAATTACAACTTTCCCAAGGGAACACAGCTGCACTAACCCTCGGGGTTCGCCCGAGAGTAATAATTTCTGGTCTGTGCGCAACTTAAAACTGGTTTCAAAGCCCGTGGAAATTTGACACCGCCTCTTGTCTTGAAAAAATAGTGCTTGTTCTTTTATTCAATATGATGTGAACCCATTAAACAGCAAAGGGGATCCCACTTAGAATCTGCCTTCCTCTTTTATCATTCGACAGCGAATTTAAAAGGAAAAATTTTGTTCAGGACCTGTTTTGAATCCGCATGTTTCAAGGCAGAACTATCGAGAAGTCTTGTTCGCATGAGGTCTCTCACATATTTATGAGGCTTTCAAAGAATTGACGCTGAAAAAGAAACATTGTTTCAAAGGTGGACGTTCCCGCATGCGGAAATTTATTTGCTTGTTTTAAGCAGACTGGAATCCTATTTAAAGAGAACCGTCACTTCTGTCTTATTAACTGACATTTAAAACACAGTTGGTGAGACAAAACTCCCTTGTATTCAAAATCAATATGTAAAATAGTGTTATTGCTCAATTTGCAATAGCAGAAGTAAGCAAGGCTAAATAAATACAATTTGTACTCATAGAGAGAGTTTTCAGTCCCTTTTGCGAGTTCGTAAAAGTCATATTATATTGTTTTCTTTTAAAAGATTTCTGTTCAACGTTCATAACGCGACGTTGTACCAGCTAGTTACGGTTTTTGAAACTTATTTATGCTGATGGCTGTGCAATTGATTTCACTGAGCCGCGACCTTATCTCATACTCAATTCACAACGTCGGAAAGTTTGAAGAATTCAGCACGTTTCTTTTCATTGAAAAACTATGAAATAATAGCAAAAGGGATTTGTTATCAAAACGGCTGTCTTTCTCACTATTGTTTGAGGGTAAGATTCCGACATTTGTGATCACGAAACTAGGATGTCCTCTTCGCGAAATAATAGCAGGTGGTGGTCCATGTAAATTACATTCCCGTGGGACGTGTTCTTGTTACTAGGAAACGAATGTTTTCAATGAGTTGTTCTGTTGCAGAATATCATCGGCAGCGGGTACCAGACGATTTTCTGTGGACTTTAATCTCGATTGAGTGCAGTTTTGGGTGAGGATATCGGTCGAATTTTGTATATTTAACTCGGTATTTCTCTCCCGATTGTATATCAAAGTTTAAAATTTTATTGGTTGTTTTGTTTAATATCTTTGTAAAATTGGGTGTTTAATTTTCAAGATTTTAAATCTAAACCTAATGCTGACCCTGGTTTTTACAGAGTGAAAAACATCCTTCCTGTAGAACAAGAATAACGCCAATTTTATGTCTCAATGTTCGACACATGCTAGAGAAAAAAAGAAAAGTCAAACAAAGCAAAACAAAAAAATAACCAAAGAACAAAAAATTCTCAATATAATGTCACTTAAATACATTGAATAAACGTTGGTGTACAGCGTTAATTTGTTTACTTTTTTAATAATTTCGTTCTTGGTGGTAAGAAAACCAACTCTGTGATGTCTCGGTGTGATGATTGTCATTCATGGAAAATATAACAAATGAGAATCTGTATCACTGTATTTTTCTACTGGCCTGAGAAAACTCTATTTACAAAAGTTATGAAAATTCAACTCCAATTTAGAAAATTTAAAGCAAGGGATAAATATTCAAAGAGATAAAGCAGGCATTTTCTCATTAGTGCGAGTCTGGTGAAGTGTTTTCAAGTGCCTTTGGTATCTTAGGAACCGCTCACGTTTGCCTTACTTTTTTCCCAGTCTAGGAAACAAATATTTCTGCATGTTGAGGGCTTTTTATGTACAGGACCGGCCGGAGACCATGATCCAAAATTTGTCTCGCATATTGATATTAAGCACTGATTCACTTCTACTCTTGCGACAAATTTAAAAGGGATTGATTCGTAATTGGCATTTTTTGGCCACTCAGGATGAATACAATCAATCAATAGATATCCCCATTTTCAAGGAACAGATTGAAAAGAGTATGGTCTCTCTTTGTTTAATCAAATTATTCAAGTTATACAGCTAAACATTTCCACATGTATCCCAGTTTACGGTATACTGTAAACCATAATAATGGAATCAAGTTATTTTCGTTGCTTTGCTAACAATTAAGTTCGAATTTTGCTTTATCTCGAGCAATAGAAACAACCTCAATTTACCTGACGTTCCAATCCACCTGTTATTTGAACGGTATTATCACTTATCATTACGTTTGTTTACAGAATAGTGCTGATCCTCTCTCTAAGGACAAACAACCCTTTTGCAGAATGTTATTGAACGCTACATTTCCCTAAAAAGTCTTCCCTCTTAGTGCCCGCGTCAAACATAAGATGATATCTTTTCAAGCCATTATGACATGTTATCGTCGGCGGTTTTGTTCAGAAAACATTAATAACTGATCTTAATTCTCATTTCTAGCGTAATTTACATTAAGTCAACGTGTTACCTGCTACTCATGCTCAAAAGCACAGTTTGAATTCAAATTAAGTTTTAGCACCGCTTTGAACAAAAACCAAGTCATAATAAATATTTATGGTATATTATTTTGCTTTGACCTCACTATTATGTACGATTAAGACTTCGTAAGCGCAGTTAAAGTTCGGAAGTTCTCCCCAAGGTTCCCTTTTATCTTTTTTGAAAGATAAAGAAAGTAAAAGGTGATTGAAATATTTCGTTTATTAGAGATCAATGACGGCGACGCTAGGTGCTGCGTGGCAAACAAAAACACCCGTCTGGAAGAAGTTGAATATAGCATACCCAAATAAGTTTGATTATCTTTAATTGTTCTTTGTCTCATGCTAAAACCATTGACGCTTCTTTAACAAATTGTTCTGAATAAGTGTTCAATTTTCTATAACGGGAACAACTTTTCTCTTTTACAATGAAATAAGAGGATGGTCCTTAATTCCTATCAGAGGTATATATTTAAAAGCAAGCTTGATTTCATAACTTTTCGTTTGTAATATGTTTGAGGCTATTAAATAAATATATAGTTGATATGCAGACAATCCCTAGGTTCTCAAAAACTCAATGTAATTTCTAGAAGTGTTCTTTAGCTGCTTATAGGAGTTCACTTGGTGTTTTCGTCTTCCAAACTTGATCTGTACTCATGCCTCATAGTATGCCGACGAACATCAACTTTTCTGTAGAACCTTCTACCGCAAATTTTGCAGGGGAAGGGTTTAATACCAGTATGCCGCCTCATGTGTGTAAGCATGTTAGAAGATTGACTGAAAACCTTTCCACATTGCTTACACTGAAATGGCTTCACCCCAGTGTGCATCAACGTATGCTTTTTCATGTCGGATTTGCGGAGGAAATTTTTTCCGCAGTAACTGCATGAATAAGGCTTGTGATCAGAATGAATAAGTTTGTGTGTCGAGAGGCTTGAAGGCCTCTTAAACTCTTTCCCACATTCTTGGCATTTATAGACCTTGGTTTTTAAGGAGGTTGGCTCTTCTGAGGTGATATCCTCGCTATCCGCTCTTTCCCGACGCCCAAAAGCATCGCCTAAACCCGGAATGGGATCGCGGTACTCTGTTACTCTTGTCGGAGCAAAGAAGGACTCTTGACCAGTGAAGCCTCTCTGGAGAAATGGCGACTGTCGAGGGAAATGACGATAAGGAAATGGGTCTGGGTTTACGGCGAGACTTGGGCAGCTGTAAGGGAACGGTAGTCCACCGTAACGCGGCACAGGCCTTAACACCAAAGGCGACGATGGTGCCAGAGGAAAAGGAAGCGCTCTGGGAAGAGCAAACGGGAACTTTGAATCAAAGTAGTCTACACCATGCCGTTGGGGAAGCGTTGGTAAAGGGATGCATGGACGATGGCTTGTTTCTTGAGCGAGGTTTAAAGATAAATTTTCAGCAGAAGAGGTGACATTGAAGCCTGTTTCGAATGCTTTGTCAACAACGGGAGGTCCCTTCTCTGTTTTAACTTCTGCAAGAGAAAGCGACTTGGTATGATTATTATCATAAAAACTGTGAGTTTTCAGAGAGAATGGGTATTTTTCCTTTAAAAAAAAAAATTGTAAAGTGATATCAATTCTCATGAAAGCAACACCAAACCCATTGCGCATAGCTGTTGGCGTAATGGGCTACCAAGTAACCGCAGATATAGCGCATTTGAAAGACACCTTTATATGGTATCAAATGTTCTCACGTACGCTCAAGCGGAGTTTGACCAAATTCAATTCCATTTTCTAGATCAAAGCAATACCGAGGAGAAATTTGGTTTTGACTTTCAAGCATCGGAATAAATTCATATCTCCAAAAGAGAAAAAAGAGAATATGCGCGAATGATAAAGAGGTTCGTTCACGGATTGAGCCTCGAATTAGCCAAGGTTGGCTTTATTAGGAAATCTCTCCACAGATCGCTAAATCTTGTACTATTTGCTCTTTTCCGTGTTTCTCACAATAATGTTCTAAACGCAAGGATCCGAACAGGTTTACATCATCATTATCGTTATTTCAGTCCTTGTTGCACAATATTTCACCTTGATCGGTTTTAACCCCGCGGGCATGGCAGTCAAGGTCGTTAAAATCGGTTGAAATTAGTCATTTATAGACAACATGTAAAAGATTCGTGGAAAAGATTCCCTCTGCACAATCTGTTCAAAACTTACAAAAGCTTTGCTGGGTGACTAAAAAAGCGCAGAGTTCTCACTTAGCTTTTGTTGAAATAACACAAAGTATCCCTTCTTTAAGGCGAATTCATTTTCGTAGGTTTTGAAAGTTTTTTTCACTGGATAGGCGAATTTAATGGATGGGCGAACAGATTAGCGGGTTAAGAAAATAATGGCTGTATTTCGCACATAAATGATCTCATTTTTACCGATCTCCAAATAATAAGCAAAGATTATCTCTTCCAAAAAACAACATGTTGCAGTTTTCATTTGATTGCAGTAGTCTCTTTTCGAAACTCGTTAAATAATAAGAAGATTCGCGGATTAAAGATATCTTAAACAACTTTTCGTGACTAAGAGACATCGACCCTTGCTGAAGGCGCAAACGAGCAAATATCGCTGCTAAAAGAGCTCAAATACTCCAATGATTTGTATAGTGCTATTTAAAAACAGTTGGCAGTCAGAACTCTTCCAACGAGAGGTCACTTTCTGCGACGATCGTTTTTCTCGCTAGGAAGAGTAATCCTAAGGGTTGAGAGTTCTTCCTACGTGATTTGCAAATCCTCTCTCCTTGTGGTGTAAGCTTGTGCAACTCGATTTATCCCGCTCGATTTAGTATCTCGAGGCTGGTATTTAAATATCGCAGCCTCTTGCGAACAATCAACATGTTAAAGTCATTTTTTCACTTCTTGATCATTTCAGGACTAAAAAAAGGCTAAACTGGACAAAAAAGGCCAATTTTACGCTAGCTGCGTGAAAACACGACTCACTCACCTGAAAGTTTTGGCTGAGTTGAATCTTGACGTTTCTCCAAGGAAGGAGAGTTAGTTTGTCTTGCCCTCACCAGAAATGATCGCGGCATGCTGCCCCTCTGATTCTGAAAACCGTCTTGGAAATGACAGACAATTACAAGGGCCGCTTTTAAAAGTCCTCTGCAAATATGTAAATTGGAGTTTAATTAGTTTCTTTTCATTTGGATACCTTTTTGTGACAGGTTGCTCTGGGTGCCTCGAAGTGTTCCGGACTAATTTTTGACGAACCCATTTAGTGGCAGGTCGAACTATTTCTCCAACTTTCTTGCGACGTATTTGTCTCTGTGATGGGAAAAACTTATTTTTTCGTCGCAGAGAATATGCATACAATCTCCCTTTTTCTTGCAAATTTTGAAATGAGACATTTGTTTTGTTTAAGCGATTATCATAACTATCCTGAAACAAACCAGTGGTAAACAGATGGAGAAAGCGGACAATAGCTATTTAAACACAATTTCGTAGGACCTTTTTCACCTTGATTCCATAAGCGTTAAATTTTCTAGCAAAAGACTAAACATTAATGTTATTTTGATGTTTAAAAGCTTCTTTTGTGTTAAACTGCTCAGTCGGAAATTAAAAGTATTGAGAAAGCGGTGATCTGTCGAGATTTTCGAATCTTTTTTCCTGCTAGCTATTATTGGATTAAGATTGGATAAATCCTTCTCAAATTGGAGTTTGTTTCTGCAGTTTTCTCTTTCCATAACAGTAACTCGAAAAATCACTTCTTCCCTTGCATTTTCAAAATGAGAAATTTCGTGGCGAATTGTGGAATAACTTGTTTTTGCTTGTGTGTGTGTGCGTGCGAGCGTGTGTGTGTGTCTGTGTGTCTGTGTGTCTGTGTGTAAAAAAACTGCATATCCTTTACTGTCTGCTCACATACACCTTGCTCTGTGATGTGGCAGGTGGAATTGTGTTCGAGTTTTGAAAAAGTAGACCACTTTAAAAACCATATCGAAAACATAATAATACAACCAGAATTTCAGTTTCCTTCCCTCACAAATTGGACAACAGCAGTGTTTAATTGCAAAGGCACATTCGCGGGAAGTGAAATCGATCTTTTGTTACCACTTAGCATTTCTGCTTGTAACAAACCAATGGAAGAGGGTTTCTCTGATTACAATCCATTTCGAAAAAGATCACTTAGTTACTACATTCTCTTGGTTCATGCTTGCTTTACAAGTTTTCTTGATCAGTTCTCTTACTTCTGCGGTGGTCAAACCACGTATTTAAAAGTATGCTCACGGGGCTGAATTCTGAAAAGGATAAGTTCTTTCAGCACTAATTTAGAAGCGGTGGTGAGCTTTTCTTTGAGCAAGTATACCGGTCTTTGTGTTTTAGCATCGCTAAGTAACCAAAAAAATGCTCGTGAATCACTCTCTGTAATCAGACACACTTTCAAAGAGTACAGTGTTTAGATAAATAACTCTCTGAGTTCTGTGTGTGTGGGAAATGCATCTTCCCTTTTGTTCAGAGAGACTGCTTGTGGCTTATTGTGCCTTCTTTCACAAACTGAAGGGTCGCCGAAGAAACTCTAACTTTCCTGAATATTGTCATATAAACAGGCGAAATTTGGAAGCCTGAGTGATGTTCAAAGGTGTTTCTCTGGTGTGACCTGTGTTTAATGGTTCTTATCAACTGCAAACCGGTGGAATTGCGATGCATCACTGTGTGCCGCTCAAATTCCTCATCAATAGTGACTCGTGCTTTAGTTCCAAAAAGGACAGCGTGGTTTTTTATTACCATTTTCGAGCGAAAGCTCATTGGAAAACAGAGTCTTCTTCAAATTGTTTTCAGTTTTTATTGCAAAGTGAAAATACATGCCGCAAAACAAATCGCTGTAAATCCTACTACGTTAGCTTCACTCTCGTCCCATTTACTACAGTTCGTGCTACAGTTCGGTTTCATGCACAAAAACCGTCGTTTGCTGTAATTTAGTAGCTCTTTATCTCAAAATTTTGATGTTATCTGTGTTACACAACAGAATCGTTCTAATCGGCAAATACTATTTTTTTTGAAAGGGCGGAATTTGCTTGAAAACAATATGAGCAAGTAAATTTTGTTAAAGATAAAGAAACGCATAGCGGGGAATCATTGTGGTCTAGAAAAGGATAATAATGTCCTGTAATTTTTTCATTCAAGCTTGAACCACTTCTCATAAACTTTCACTTGCGGTGAAGTTTCCAGTGAGACAATTTGACCAAACGGGATACAGATAGCTATCTAATGAACACAAGGAAAGTCACCCCCTCAAAGCAAACAACACAACGTTACGTGTTCCAGATACAGTAAGAAGTGATTCACAATCAGCTTTTATTGTTTGCGTCTGGTGATGTCTGTATACCATAGCCTCTGATAAATTGTAGGTCATTTTATGATTTTACCCACTTTTATAAACTTACAAAACAAATATCATGGTGATATATATTTTTCGTTTTGTTTTGTTTTGTAAGTAGGCATTGAAAGATATCATTTCAATTACAGGATGTTTTTACCGCTGAATGGGTTTTTCTTCAGTTGTTCAACTCTTGTTTAAACAAAACCAACTTCTCCACGTGTGTTTCTTGTGCGATGTCTCTTAATTTAAATGAGAATACGTCAAGAACATTAACTCATTGAACGCTTTTCTAAGGTCTTTGAATGGAATCTCCTTCAACTGTTGTGATCAATTTTTTCCGAGTGATCTTGTTTCTCAGTCAATTTTCACCAGTTAAAAAATTAACGCGACAGTGATTAACCGCTTTGGCAGAAGAAACAGTTTCGGCTTAACCAAAACTGGGAAATACAACTTGTCCTCCTATAAACGCAAAGGTGGTTTTCTGAGTAATTAGGTGTTAAATGCCCTATCAGTAGGCTGTGTAGTGTTAACATATTGTTCCAAATAACTGAATATACCCGTCGCAGAGAAACTGTGTTTAAAATTTGGTGTTTTTATTCTCTTTTGAATTTTGATTCTTCTAGAGATAAAAAAAGATTGGAAGGTTTTTCTCAGTTCGATAACAAGTTCAAGAACACGTCGTACAAATAATTGAAAATAAAAATTATTTATAGATTCTTTTACAAAGAGAAAGCTTTTTTTAGCGATATTTTTTTCTTTTGTTCGGCGTTTGAGTGCTTTGTTTTGTAGTTAGAAAATACAGTTGGGAACAGACTTGTTTTCTCTAAACACTGAAAAATCATCAACAGACGTGAAAAAAACAGCTTGTTTCCTATCGACAGTACCTTAAACAGCCCCTCCCGAGATTAAGGGACTGTTAATTAGAACAAAATTGCCAAAACGTTTTAAAACGTTATCCCATGTAGTCAATCTCTTGTGTAAGGATAGTTGCTTGTTTGAACATAACTTAGATCTAAGACAACTTCCCTTCTTACGATAGGCATGTATAGTTAACTTCTGACAAACATTTCATCTAATTGCTCTGAGACTATAATCTCAGATGCTTTCTTTCAAAAACATTTTGTTTGGGTTTAGCTTCATCGATAAGAATGAAATTTGGCTAGCAAAGGGAAAGAAATTAAAGATTTTTAAGTTCCTCTTCATTGGAAAATTTATGCGAAAAGGGTAGCTATAGTGTCAGTTCTTCATAAAACTCAGTTCGAACAAATCGTTTGTGCAATTTCCTATACACCACCAGTAGTGTTTCCTTTTTGAAAATTTATCTCTTATTCTTGGTCACGTATAGAAAAAAACCAGAATGGTGTTCTTTGTTTCAAGGTAGCCGACACAGTTGTTATCATCGGATTAAATCATTCATAGGAACTGTAGATCTCGCTAGGTGTTCTTTAAATCAACTCAGTGTTATATTGCTTACATTCAGAAATTGTGTAAACAAAATTCACAGACTGATGTAATTTATAATTCAATTGCAAGTTCTCTTTTAGAATTTGAAAGGTCTCTTTATTTACAATGAAATGTGGCACATGAGTTGGGAGAACCTTTCGCTCATGTGTGCAGCGGGTGGTTTATTCAGTTTTAATAAAAATATTCATGTATTTACGGGGCGCTTTAAGCGAGCACTGATCAGCCCGTACGGATAAAAAAAATTTCGCCTGATGTGTTTTTACAAACGATTTCCATTTAGGCTGATTTGCTACAGAAAAATTGTTTCCATAGAGTTGACAAAATTGGAAGTTGGTATGTTCGATAAACATAAAGAGTGTTTTGATGACTTTACTGTAATCACGTAGCTCGAGCCGCGGAGGAAATCCACCACGTTTTATTTCATCATAGAAACGATACCAAAGGGGCGGTTCCTCAGATGAAAAGATATCCGCCCCTAAAAACACGTGAATTATCAAACCTTTTGTTGAACGCTGGCAATTCCATGCTAAAAAAAAAAGAAAACTGAATAGTCACCCAAACGAGAGAGATACGTAAAGATAAGTGACGCTTTAGGAGGCTCTTAAAGCCCATTTGTTCAATATGTTTTTATGATTGATAGCTGATGTTTTTTTAGTACTCGTTTAGGTAATAATGGGATATGTATTTTTGTAAAGCATACACATGCATTTGGACATGCAGTTATCTCTGTTAGCGACACGTGTTATGACATCAAAAGAACGCCTACCTTACAGCCTATCACATTTCATTGCACATTTCAGTTGCTACAGAATCTCATAAGACTGCTGATTCGATTTACCCTCTTTTTTTTCTTGACTTTTTTTTTGTCGAAAATAACACTCTTCGAATATTAATCATATTTGTTTTTATATGGTTTCCTATTTGCAATTTCATTGTGTGGCGAGGCTTAATTTTGTCTAAAAGAAAAAGAAACGACTGACAATCAATTTTGGGGATGCTAATACAACATAACTTTATGCCAGCTATGATTACCACGTGTGGCTCAAAAATAACTGTTGTCTCAGTTCCACTGAGAACTATATTCAACATCTTTATTTCCTGATACTCTAGCTGCATTGCTACCCCATTTACTATATGGATAAATAACTCAATGTTTCAATCGATCAAAACGCTTAGCCATGGAAACATATCGAAAGAGCCAGTGACTTACATCTTCTATTGCTACACTGCGGAGAATGATGGGGAAGCGCAGATAGGCAATTATAATAGATAACATATTTTCGACATCAAATGTTATTTGAAGTCAATGGCAAATTTTCAGCTTTGGGGAGGAAATGCTGGATGTGCCGAACCCGAAAAGGGACTACAAGAACCTCGTGTGCGTACAACGTTATTTTTCTCCTTCCTCGGTCTTTTACTTATTTTTTCCTCTCCTTCACAGTGAAATTGTTCCTTATAACAGCCATCGGCCCATGTGTTATTAAAGTTATTATCAATTACCTTTTTTGAGAATAAAGCAGCGTTTCACAGCTTCTTAACTAAACTTGGGGTTCATCGTTTGAAGTTTACCAGAACAAAATAGAAACACTGAAAGGGCGTCGTCGAGTGCAAGTCGCGATAACTTCGAACTAACGTGTGCAGTCACACTTTCAGACATCATTCTTCGAACATCTCTCTGAAGCACGATTTGCGCTTTTCTTTCACCCCTCTGCTTATTCTTACGTTTTCAATTGCCAGTTTTCACATGCTATTTCGGGGACCAACATTGAGACGGCTGGGAATGCAGTAAGTGTTCGAATAAATTTGTCTGGGAGTGTAGACTTCTTCAATCAGACGGAGAGGGTGTGGGTAATGGTTTCGAATTTCTGCACGCCACTGCTCTACGTTGTATATCAGCGGGCTCGTACTTGCGCTGTGAACTGGCAATAATGCGGTTGCCGGTAATCGGATCCTAGTGTTTGCGCAAAGAACTCTGGGATCGGTAGGCTGAGAGGTCAAAAATTGCAGGATGCCAGAAGGAAATATACGGCGAAAGGTTGTTTTGACGTCTAAAAAACGATTTTGGAGAAAGATCGTCGCTGCATTATCAGAGATGGTTCTAGATAATGTTGCGATCCTGGCATTCGGGTTTATTGTCAAATCGTCATCGCGTAATATTGGTCTCAAAGTAATACAAAATTAGCTGTAGATCGCCTAGTAATACCCGTCAATAAAATCCCTCATTCATACTTACGTGTACACAACCTTTTTTCACACTTATTTGCGTGTTTAACGAACAAATTACTATGTCTGGAGAGGTTGTTGTCAGCGGAAGAAGAAATCGTTTTTACTGAGCTGTTGGAGGGATAAAATAAGCATTGATAAACACGAGGAAATACGTAGGTGGGATCGCCAGGTGTCAAACCTTTCTTTTGAGGGAAGAAAACATAATAAATATGTCCAAGTCAACCTTTAACCACTTGAGAAAGATTAGTAAAATATGAAAATATCTCAGCACTCAGCCCTTTCCCAGCTGGCAACAAATCGTAAAATTTGGCCATACAAAACTTAAGCTCACTTTGTTTGTCGTTATGTGAAGTATCCCTTACAATACCTGCGGTTTGGAGACACCGTGGGTTCAGACTTTGGGGTCAGGTGACCTAAATCACCCGCTCGTGTTTGGATGCGTTCAAATCGATTCGTTTTCTCGCGGTTATAAGAGTTTTTCGAGACATTTTCCCTCTACAGAAGCCCTCAGGACAGCATCATTAAGCTGGAATGTGGGTAGAGGCAAGCCTCTGAAAGAAAACAGAGGTGAGAGGTGGTTTCATGTAGACTGGACCGCCAAAATGCTTTCATGTAAGCTTGGCGAGTTCACAAGCGAAGTCGTGTCTCTGGCCCATCTGTGGATGGCTACCAGGACCTACCAAGGCTTTTTGGGCCAGTTTTGAGTGGYAAAAGTCTCGATCGATGTCATATTTTGCTGGTAGGACTGGGTGGCCCGACACGATTCTAATAATTTGTTAGAATGGAAATGTGAGGTGTTGCCCTCTCGAGTTGTGGTGGAATTTCCCAGAACTCTTTTCGGCCATTAATGAGGCAAAGGTTGTGTTTGGGACACTAGCTTTCGTCAAAAGGAAGAGCAAGGGCTAGCGGATAAAGTGAGAAGGCATTTTCCAACCAAACAGCAAGATCTGGCCCTGAGGTGTGTTTTGAATGCAACCTTTTGATTTCTTGAGCAAGTTTTTATCTTTAAAGATCGACACTTTTTCAGTGTTGCTCTTGGAGCAGAATGCTGGATTTCTGGGATTTGTTGTTATATGAACGGTTCACTGCAATGGAAATCGGGAATCATTGTGGCTGTTCTAGGCTGCAATCGGTGTCGCATCAAACAGCCTTGCAATGTACACACTTACATAATGTTGTCTTTTAATATTTCAACAAGAAACAAATAATAACAGTAGTGGGTGTTATGACTCCCATATATGCGTGGCTTGCTAGAAAAGGGTTACACGGCAGAAACTCTCGTACATGCTCATGTTACCACGAGACTAGATTATAGCAATGCGTTGTTATATGTTTCATCAGATAATCTTTAGAGCGACTGCAAAATGTCCGGAATGCGGCAGCACGAGATATTACCTGCACACCCAAAAGGGATTACACAACACCGCTTCTGTTTAAACTCCACTGGTTACCAATAAAAGAACGAACTGTGTAAAGGATATATGACTGAATTACCAATTATAATTTACGTTCGTTTAGTTACGCATCCTTTTCGGTATCGGGACCATCTCTTTGGAATTCTTTACCAAAGGACGTACGATTAGATGATACTTAAGACCGTCTTAAAAAACATTCGAATATGTATCTTTCTCGAGAGACGTATACCAATCCTTTAGAGTTATTATATATTTCAATATTTCAAAAATATTTACCTTTAGAAATAATTAATTTTAGTTTTTACGCTAGCGATGAGCTTGTAAATCCTGTCTCAGGTTTTTTAATTCTATTTTACTACGCACTCTCTTTAAAGCGCTTTTGGGTATTTATAGCAAAACCGCTATAAAAATTACCATTGTTTTGGTATTGTTATAAACATTGCAATTTGCTAGTGGGAGCCATTCCGTCTGTGGTTCCGTTTGATGTTGAAAAAGTCAATGAATAGGCTTTGGTAGAAATTTGAAGTAGAAACCCACCATGTGTGATATTTTGGGGATTCGTCCACATATAATCAAACAAACTCACGAATTCATCAAAATTTTGTAATTCGCCAGCCAGGATAATAACCGGGAAAAACTATATCTAACATAGTTTTTGAAGTTTATTTGAACTCACGACGTTACCCTCAATGATCTACAAACTTAAAAAGGCTGAACTTAATGAGGACCTTACAGCAAATGTCTACACCTATGAGAAACGTAAACAACCTCTTGAATGAAAAGTGATTCTTACGAGGGTCTTCAGTTACTATTTACAATGATTATCACTCGGAAAACTAGTTTCATTAATAAGGAGGCTGTAGCGGCCGTTTCCGCTTTCAAAAGTAATATACAAAGGTAATTAAATAGTTTATGTTGCTCGTTTTCAGCGATCAAAAAGGTTATATTGAGTGAAATTCTGGGAAGCCTGAAATAACAGTAGTACACAAAAAGATAGTCAGTCTTAACAATTAAAATTAACGTTATGCACTTGAAACAAAAGCATTGAATCTGTTACCGTGTTTGCTTCTCAGCTGTTAAGGAAATAAACGTCAAACTACATACACTAAACCACTCTTCTTGACTGACGACTGGTAGTTTTAAAATAAGTTTCAAAAAAGGAGAGCACTGGGTAATAAAATGAAAATTTACGCCTCAGAGAAAGAAAAAAAAACACTTCAAATGATGATGATGAACTGAACATGAGTCTGTCTCGTTCGCTTGAACAAATAATTGTGGCGGTTGTCAAAGAAAGAACTCCTTTCTACAATGCATTCATCTTAGCCTTCTCAATAAGTTCTCGACCGATGATCAATCTTTGAATCTGCGCTGTGCCTTCATAAATCTGAAAGAGAAGAAAAAAACTTTTGAGGGTCTCAATGACGACGAGCGGTTTAAATTTTGGCAATTTTACAGCTAATAGTTAATCTCACTGAGACCGGCCCCCCTTTTCGGGTAAGTCAGAAAATTCTGAAGTGGGGACTTCGTGGTATCTTTGACTTCTAAATTTGAACTCGTCACAATCCAACTTGGCGATCTTTGAGATTTTTACCAACCTTGGCAGCGATGTGCTTTATGTTAATGAGGACCCTGGAAACAAGGTGGTCGCGGTTTTGTTTGTGATTTTCTTATATGTGCCCACTTTTAATTCCAGTATGTTATGAATCAACTGATGCAAACATTACAGCAGCAAGAGCAAAAGGGAAAACGGAAAAAAGGAAAACTTACCTGGAAGATTTTAGCATCTCTCATCAGCTTTTCAACAGGATACTCGGTGTTAAATCCAGCACCACCAAAAATCTAGAACAAAGAAAATGAAATATTCTGCCTATTAACTTGGTGACGGCAAGCTATGTGATTACACTAAAATAACTGCTCTGATGTCAATGTGAGAAGTTTACGTTACAGCTTTCCTTGACTCAGTCTGATAAGAAGTGAAACGTATATTGAAGTGTGTGTATTGAAGTGTATGTTGATGGGGCACACTATCACATGATGTAGCAATGTGATTCTGGTGCTTTAATACGCGCCATAACCTTAGCGTGTTCACGCAAACTGTGTGACACAGCCTCATAACTCAAAGGATATGCATTGATATGTCGAAAACTGAAGATCAAAATAAACGTATTTTCCCTCGGAATGTTCTGAACAGTCTTGTTGTTAAAAAATGGGCAAATCTTCGCGATTTAAGAGTTACACCTTAGACGTTCACCGAAAAACCTTTCAAACCGTTAAAATTCAGCCAAAAAAAAAAACAGTAACGACAATTTTAGTAAAACTCACATTTTTTTTTTTTTTTGATTTTTTTTTTTTATTACTTCTGAGTGAAACTTTTTGAAATTCCAATGTATCAAAATAATAAGAGCTGTCATCCAGTTCATGCAGGTTCCTTGCGCTATAACCATCCCCAATATTACCTGAACGGCATCTGCAGCACATTTGTTAGCAACATCTCCTGCTAAACACTTTGCAACGGAGGCGTAGTACGTGTTACGGCGGCCCTAACAAACATGAACGATATATACTGTTATCACCTGATTTACGGCGGGTCACTTTGCACACATAGCCCATGTAAGTCAAATCTTTCCTCAGACACAGAAAGGTGACGAAAAAGACAAACGCAATAAAGGGAGGTTTACCTTGACTACACAATAAATTATCGGACTATTAAACAATGAATAAAAAAGGAAAAGTTTGTGGTTTTGCATCGGTGGAGGATATTGCAGCATAATTTGGTTTTATCAGTTGAGTGGATGATGTAAATTAGCCACCGATAAGAGATCAAAGTTGACGTTCTCAGCCGAAGGGCTAACGCTCGAAACGTCAGCTTTTACGAAGGCCAATTTAAATTATCATCTCAGTTGCTAAAACCTAGCTATATCATTTGAGAGTGAAATTTATAACAGGCAAATCACATTTAAGCGATAGGATTTAAGTTAACCGTCAATAACCACATCATATCCGGACCTGAATTTTCGAAAAGAAAGAGTAAAATATTTCCCGAAACAAAAACTTTTTCTGGTGCCTTGTTGTTGAGCAAAACTTCGTTTGCCTATAACTTAATCAAAACAGCCGATTTGTGCGCAAAGAAACAAAACAGTGAAAAGCGAAACATCCACTTCCCTAGTAAGGCCCTGTTTACAAGCAAGGAGGGTAACCCTTGTGCTAGGGTTACCCTAGCAGGCGGGACAAAGATAGCCCGGGTTTACAAGCAAAATTTCACAGGTAGTGTTACCCTACCAACCGGGACAACTTACCTATGCTTGGTAACCGCACGCATTGTTATCAATGTTCAAAGGGTCTGGAAACAAGTAAAAAGTTGTCCCGGGTAGGCGAGTTATCCCCAGCAGAGCGTTTACAAGGCAGTTAGGGTTACCCTAGTGCTAGAGTAACCCTAGCTGCCTTGTAAACACGTCGATGAAAAAAAGAAGAAATGTGGGAGCGTTAGGGTAACCCTCCTGCCAGGGTAACCCTAGCACTAGGGTTACCCTACCTGCTTGTAAACAGGGCCTTAGACTTAATATTAGTAAATTTCTTTACGTCTGAGTCCGTTCAGTCTTCAAACTTCCCGGCCCCAAAATTCGGTAAGTGATATAGATAGATAGATAGATAGATAGATAGATAGATAGATAAGACCTTTATCGACTTGGAAAAAATAAATGAAACGCGTCCAGAGACAAAACCTCTGGACTTACAATTTCCTACATATATCAATTCATTATGTATATATAAGACTAAGTGGCTACACAAATTCGAAAGGACATCTATTAAAAAAGCAACGTTTAAAACGTTCGGTTCTAACTAGAGGCAGGATGTAATTATGTCCACTTTTCCTGAGGCTCCTAGCTCTCTGAGCTGGTAAAAGTTCATGTAATGCATTTGCGCTGTCATAGGTTATCTCGTCCCAAAGAAGCCTGTCTTTAATTTTAATTACATCCATTATGGGAGTGTATTTGCTGGTGTAACCATAACGTAAAGCTTGCTTACAGAACTTATCAATATGAGAGAGATATTTACTGTAGTGGGCAGAAGCCCACACCTCAATTGCGTAAGTGAAAAGTGACATAATTAGACTGTCAAACAGCAGTGTAAGTTCTTGTAATGAAAAGCCGTAGTACTTGCAGACTCTGAGGATGTACAGTCTAGAAGTTGCTTTGCTGAGCACGTTTTCAAATTGAACGTCCCAGTTACATGGATCTTCGTTTACTGTAACTCCTAGCAGCTTTAGTTCGCTTTTCTGGTTATTCCGTCCACGGGCTCTGGAAGGGGCATTGTGGTTTTACCTTTAACAACCATCTCAAAGGTTTTCTTCATGTTTAGTGTCATCGGGTTTTTATCCGCCCAACGTTTGATATTTTCTACTTCATAATGTGATAACTCTGTAAGATTAGGGCCAGTTTTGACAGGCACACTTGCTGTAATATCATCAGCATATTTGATCAGTAGGGTTTGGGGGCTGACCGGTTTAATATCATTCACCATGATAGAGAAAAGTAAGGGTCCAAGCACAGTTCCCTGGGGAACCCCTCTGTTAACGTTGAGAAAAGTGGTAACCACTCCATCAACTACTACTCTCTGTCGGCGATCACACAGGAAGCTTATTATCCAGTACTTAATGTATGGATTGATGTCATACGACACCAGCTTGCTGAATAGAATGCGATGGGAGACTGAATCAAAAGCCTTACTGAAATCGAGTGAGAAGGCTCTTAGAAAAGCCGCATCTCGGTCTAGTCGCTCAAGCCAAAAGTGTTGGCACTTAATAAGGGCCATAGTCGTGTTGTGCCCCTTCTTATATGCGAATTGGTCAGGTCCGATCGCAGACTTGAGGATAGGAGATACTTCTTGTTTACAGACGAGACACTCAAAAATTCTCATTATGATGTTGGTTAATGAGATCGGTCTAAGCTGATTGCATTCAGTCAGAGGAGATACCTTAGAGATGGGTGAGACGTTTGCTAATTTCCAAAGAGATGGGACGGTTTGATGCCTGAGTGAGCAGTTGAAAATTTTGGTGATCACGGGTGCAAGATGGTGAGAGGAATCGCGCCAAAACCAATATGGAAACTCATCAGGCCCCGAGGCGGTTCGTTTCAGGTGCGATAACAAGTTTCGTACATCACATTCGTTCACAGTCGGCAAACTGTTTCCTGCTAGTATTTGCAGACGCGTTGGAGCCTCATATTCATCGTCAGTGTTGATGGTCTGGAAATATGTGTTGATGATATCAGGTGAAATCACCGAGCTGACAAGGGTGCCTTGTGTCTTTCTGCCTGTTATTCTATTGGCTGTGTCCCACCATCCTTTAGAGCCTCGGTTATGTTTTAATCGCTCGTTGTTCACAGCGTTTACTTGGTTCATGCGAATGAGTGCGTTGATTTTCTCTTGACGAATAATTTTCTCTACTTGGTTACCCCGATGAAAGCACAGAATGGATGGTTCAGAAGATACATGTACTCAACCTTTAGTACAAACAAGAATCCGTTGGTCAAGTATTGAAGTCAAAATGAACAAACCTGGTCTACTTCCCAAGCTGCTCGCCGCGTTGCCAGTCGAGCTGTTTCGATACCAATGGCCATGTCAGCTAACATGAAGTTTACAGCTTGATGCTGAAAATCAAAACAAAACTGGTCACTAAATAGTTGACAAGTTATTATTTGAGAGAGGTTTCGCTTATTTTCTCTATTCTTGACCGTTTTCATGTTTTCATTTGTTTAAGAGGGGCAACATGGACATAAAACGAAAACAAAAATTTAAGGCAATGCCATTGTCTTCGTATTCTGTATATCACCGTCTCCTCGCCCCCGTCTCCTTCGCACTCATAATGAAGAGGGACCCTGGGAATTAGCATACCTGAGCGATGGGTCTGCCCATAGTTTTCCGTTCCAGTGAGTATTTTAGAGCCTCTTCCATGGCTCGCTGCGCAAGACCTACAGCACTAGAAGCGACCTTGAAAGCAGAAAACAAGCGTAAGTTTCTCATTCTTTTCGTGATGAGCTGTTTGAGTTATTCCGTCCTTTCATAAGGCTACAGACCTGCTTTGAAAATGTGAATCCAGCTTTGGTAATTGAAAACCCATACAAAGCTTAAATCCAAACGTAATACCTGTAACTCTCACACCATTTTTTAATAACCTATGACGACCGAACAAATAAGGAAAATCCTACCCTAGTTTCATTTAATTGCTATATACGAATCATGCTACAGTAAAAGAACAACCTGGACTAGTGCGCAGAGGAAAACATCTTACCGGAGGGCGTGTCTTATCGAAAGCTCCCATGGCAATCTTGAAACCAATACCTTCTCCGCCAAGAACGTTCTAACAATTAAACAAACAAACAGAAATACATTGTAATTCAGTAATCAGTAGAACTTGGTTGCAGCACTAGAAGGAAGCAATGGAGAAATATAAGACTCATTGCCATTTTTCAGTGGTCTACAAAACACGTCTCTTTTAAAACTGAGCACACGCCAAACCAGTGCACTCATTTTCCCGCCAACGGTGAGAGTACTTCGAGATAACTTCTTTTGAAATTATCTCGTGTGTTGATTGGCCATTGTGATAATTACGTTTTCACTTTATGATGCTTAATCTGCATGCGCTATGTAACGTCGACAAACAAGGCTCACCTCCTTAGGAACAACAACATCTTCAAATGTAATCCCACGAGTATCAGAGGCTTTCTGACCCATGTTCCATTCCTGTAGAGACGTAATGAGAAAAAGAACTGTTACACAAACTTGGAAACTGTAATCATAAGGACTAAAAGAGTGAAGTCTGTGGGAAATAACCTAAGAAAGCCAACCACACGAAAGAGAATATTAAAGAATTAACGATAGTTAATAAAGAAGGTTAACACTCAGTGCTTAAAAAAAGCTCGAAATAAGTTAAATTTACAGCAAGTTCGTTGAAAGCTGCGGAGATTATTCATACTATAGTGGCATAATTTGAGTGAACAGTTCAATATGTGATTTGCCTTGTGGTTACATTTCATACCAGTAAAGCTGATATGAGCATTTGGGAATAATGGAAATTGATTGCTAAATTTGTTTGTGAAATTGCACATCCTTCACCAAAGGCACATGAGTTTATTAATAATGAACTTTCTTTGTTGACAGTCTACGCTGTAGTTACAGCTACAACTTGAAGCTTCCACCAGTGACGTGCAGTAACAACTGGCAGCCTGTTTGCCAGCTGACAATTCACCTTTCTTCCTACAGTTACTCCAGGAGAGTCTCTTTCCACAATAAACCCTGTGAATGCTTTACCAGCTCCGGCATTTGCGTCAGTTCGTGCCAAAACAAAATACCTGAAATACCAACAAAGGACGAGGATCAACTTTCAATTCACCCATAGCCAATTATAGTAGTCGGAAGTATCTTGAGATATTATATGTAACATTGACTCACTAGTTGATTTTATTTCTTAGTGTTTGAACCTCAGAGTAACTCTCACTCATGTTCAGTGATGGCTCATGTGAGGGGAGAACTAAAGAGGTTTGTTACTGATAGCATTGACTGGCTTCTCAACAACCTCAGCAAATTCTTTTTCAGAGGAAAGTAAAGAGTTGTTTTCATCTTTTGTTAGTTCACCTTCTTTGAAAGAGTAATTCTCTCACAAATTTTCAATCAATGATGGCACAAGAAACCCAAGGTTGTTTTCAATGCAATATCAAACTAACATCAACCAAGACATAAAATACCTAATTGTTGCAACAGGGTTCCTGCTACACCATAATTTTCAAGGGTTCTGATGAATTTGATTGGGAAATATAAAACTGGCCTTGAAATTGGATCACTCCATGCTATTTAAAGGACTTACCAATTGGCAACACCTCCATTTGTAATCCACATCTTCTGACCATTAATCACATACTAAGAACAAAAACAAATTAAAAGATAAGAAGTTATAACAGAATATGAGAATTATATATAGTATGAAGCACTGCAACACTTTTTTATCCTGTCCTTGCAGGGAAAATTAGAATTCACCATGTTTATATTTACATTGTATCTGGAATGCTGTTGGTGATGAGGGTGTCAAAGACATTGATTCTAAGATGAAACATACATTGTACAAAGTATTATTGTAAACGCTAATAGCTGAGGCATTAACTAACTTCATCTCCTTTCTTCACAGCTTTGGTGCCAATTGAGGCCACATCAGATCCTGCACCAGGCTCAGACACACAATATGCCTACAAAGAAGAACAAATTTGCTATTGTGAGCACTGACTGTTTGAATACGAACCTTGATTTGGTGATGGTTTAAAAATGTGAGGCAAAATACATTGCCTGGATCTTCCATTTCTGATTAAAACCATTACCATTAGATAATAATTAACAATTATTCACCAAAGTGGAGGTGAATAGTGGCAGATATTTACTGAGCCACAAAATGGTGAGGTCAATACCCACCACTTACAGCGACACTGAGGTGAAAAATTGTTTGAGTATATACCACACAGATACCAAAACTAAGTTATTTGTTTCAATATACTGAAAAATGGTCGGAAATTAAACTTTTGTCTCTTCAGCTACTCCAGGGTGTATAGTACTTACCATTCACTTCCTAACTAGCCAATCAGCATATGTGAAAAGCACTATTCACTTGTGTGGTATTTACTGACAATAAATATAATTCCACAGTTGTTCCATTTACAGGTGGACAGTATGTATGTAAAAGTTATGAATACAATCATGTTAGTGAAAGTTGATCTACATACAGCCATAAGAGGTTCTTCTATCATACGACCCAGGTATTTCTTTTTTTGTTCCTTATTTCCAGCTAGGATGACAGGCATTTCCTGTGTGAGATGGCAAAGAGGAAAGGACAAATTATTACATCAAAGTGGCTGTGATCACCAAGCTCACTATGCTGACCAATAAAATTGGAAATTACCTTGAAACATGCCCTAATTTGATCTCAATACACCTAATGTTTGAAACATTTTCCACTCCATACCTAACACCAGACAGTTCATATCTCTGGGATAACAGTTGCTTCTTGCTGGGTTTATGACTAACATACAAAAATTTTTGATACACACACACAAAAAAAATCTATTAAGAGAAAATACAAATAAAAAATCAAATCAAATACTTTTAGTCTGAGAATTACTTTTTCAGAAAAAAAGCCATCACTTACTGCCAAAGAATTTGCTTCGATAGCGGTTTGAATTCCAGAACAACCATATGATAGCTCTTCTGTTATCACACAACCATCAAGAACACCCAGAGCAGGACCCCCTGAAAGAATAAAAACATATATTGTCAGTGAGTTAACAATTCCTATACACATTGCACTATAGCAAAGCTATGCCACAAAAGTTACACCCCTTGTACAGCTTAACCTTATAACCCCCAAGATCTGATTATTACAGGTAATTCTCCCTTCAACCAACTGAACATTTCCTTGTGAACTAGTCGGAGAATTTGGTGTTAGATCAAGATAACAACTTCTAACTGATAAGTTTGAGTATTCTCACTACCTGTTTGCTGGATAATGTATGATTATTTAAGGGATAAATTACATGTTAATCACTTCAGGGAGTTGAAGGGTTGAAAAATACAACAAACTGAAGTTTTCATCCAGCAGGCACTCACCATATTCTTCTGGAATATGACCATTTATCAGCCCCAATGCATGAGCTTTCTTGATAATATCCCAAGGATACTAAGAAATACAAAATACACGTCATGTACCACTCCTAATAAATGTACAGTAGTCATCAAAGCTATTTCATATGCTGCAGCAATACATATGAAATAGCTTTGATAATCAGAGGGTATTTCTATGTAAGGTGTATAATAGATTGTACTAGAAAGGCATGACAAGTACATATATGCAGCTGTAGCAAGCATCTGACTTCATACAAACTGTACAGTCCAGATATATGCTTCAAAGGTATCTTACCTCGCCAGTCTGATCATGATGGGCAGCAACTGGTACAATTTCTTCACGAGAGAACTTCCTTGCCATTTCTTGAAGTTGCTGTAACTCTTCAGAAAGTTCTAATAACAAAAGAATTATGGGTGTAAATGACTTTAAAATGAGTTTCCACATTTTTTCATAAAATAATATGGTAGAATTAGAGGAGAAAAACATGAAAATTGAGTACTGGTATCTCTTCTCAGATTTAACTTCCTCATTAACATAATTGGAGCAGTTTTCAAAGCAGGGTGACAACAATCTGAATTTAAGGGGTATTGGCTCAACTTCTATAAACTCTAAGCATTCAAGAAAATTTTTGCTATCTTTCCACTCTGACAGATATAATCTCAGTAACAACAATTTTGGATGCAAATTTTTCCATTCTTGGCTTGGAACATGTCATTGCACTGTATTCATGGTTCTCTTATTATTCTAAATGAGCAGTGTGACTAATTAAATAACTGTGTATGATTTTTCTTTCAATAAATGGCTTTCTGTAGGCTTTTCCCATGAGCTCATATATGGATGGTATCATAAGTACTTTCCACCTGTAATGTGTTTGTCCAACGCAAAATTTTCGAGACAAAAAAAAGGTAACTTACCAAATGAAAGGCCAGAGTTAAATGACGATGCCTCCAACTTGATGGCTGATGCTTCTGTACTAAGTTTTGCTCTCTGTCAGAAAAAGGAAAAAAAAACAAAGAATCAGGACATCATTAAGCTGAAGTTTATATCTAATAAACTTAAAGGACTGAGTCTTGATCTGGACCTAGTTTAGTAAAGCAGTGTTCTAACATATCTTCACACTTCCCAAGAATATCAAAATGGCTTACCAATAAAACCGAAAAATATTAATAAATTTGCATCCAAAAACCCACCTACAATTGTGTTTATTGCATGTCTTGCACACTGCTTAAGTTAGCCTTTGTTTATTTGTTTATTTTGCCTTTTTGTAATTGTAACTCATCAGTAGAAATAAAGGGATTTACATATACATTAATATAACATTGCAAGGAAACCTGTAGTTGTGGACTGTGATCATGCAGTGAACTAGCTTGTTAATGACTTCAACCTTCGTGACTGTTGAAACACTGACTTCTGCTTTTATGTAAGGGCATATTCTGAAACATCGTTAGGTACAGTCAAAAGCCAAAATTCTTACCAAAGCAGTGACTCCAGCAGAAATAATTCCCTTCTGAAAGATAAAAATGCATGAAAAATGCAGCTGAAACAGAATTCATGTTTTCTATCTCAAAAATGTTGACCCCCTGTACTCGACACGGCTCAGCCCTCAACATGACCAAAAAAACATCGTAACTGATCAAGCCAAGAGGACTTGGTTGTCTCTTCATTCCCTGTTTAGTTCTGCTTCTCGAACAGAAAATCACAAAAAGTAATTTCACGGCACCAGATCCGGTCTTATCTATGTATTTAGAAATTGAAGCGTTTACAACAAGTTGTTGTTACGTAATAATCGATGGACTTCGATAAAGTCACGCTCAGTATTACATGTAAAAGGAAGGATACTTTTCGACGATTAGCTGAGGACCGTACTTTTACGGTTCATTTCACCGAAATCTAGCGCTCCCAGGACAAGACAGATTTACTCAAGATCAAGACAATTCTACGATAATTTTTGCAACATAGACTTACGTAAAGATAAGCTAAACTGAAATTATTACATTTGACTGCTCGAGGGATCATAGTTTACCATCAGTTTCTAAGAAGATAACAACGATTTCAATGAGACTAATTCATTCACTAAATGCCTTACCTGTAGTCCGAAACCACCATTGCGTCGGAGAAAACTCAGAGAAGCCATGATTCAGTTACTTATAGGACCACAGCGTACAAAGTTCAATACACATCGAGGTCATAGTGGATAAACGATAGAGAAAAGACTGGTACCTGATGAATGATAAACCGCTGACAACTCCAGCTTCAGAAATCACAAGTTTTCCAACCCTTCCTGGGATACCTGTGCCTGAACTGTGTCGCACAAACAAAGATGGCCGAGAAACTGGCGGATACAAAGGAAGCGAAAAGTTCAGCAGGAGGATCAGCTGATGGCAATCAAGACGGTTTCACGGAGGGTATCTTGCAAATGTTTCGACCGGCAGTTGAAGAACTGGACAACAAAGCTCTCAGTGTGAGGTATTACGGGTGTTGACATTCGTTTTCTTGAATGCAATCCTACAAAATCTACGTGTACGCTCTTTGCAGTACTTATATTTCTCTTAAAACAGGCGCAAAAGTGAAGTTAGGATCAGTGAGAGTGAGAGAGAGAGAAAGAGAGAGAGGGGGGAGGAAGAGGGAGAGAGAGGGAGGGAGACATAGGAAAATTGAGCTAATGATTAAAGAAATTAATCTTCTGAATCTTGCAGACAATCTGTCCGTACTAATTTGATTTCTAAATAGTCAAATTAAATACTAAGATTTCTGTAGAATCCAAATTTTTACGGGTTTTCATTTTGCGATTGTTCCCGACCCGAACAAACAAATGGTTCCAGCAGAATAATACCACAAACTTAAAAATCGTAAACTTCTTTGACTCCGCCGGGACCACGATAGTGGAAGGTAAAGGGGCAGGCATTTTGCTGGATACATTGAATACTTAATGCTTCTATCAAAAATAGTGCAATTTGATTTGTTAACACTACTTGCTATCTACTTAACAAATAGATGTTTCTGTCTTTCTGTTTAGTAATACAACACAGATGACATCAAAAATGTGGTAACTGAAAATAAAAAAAGTGACACACCCAGGATAGCTAATAAGTGATCAATTTTTATTTTCAGAAAAAGTCAAGTTGAGTTACGGGAACAAATTGATAAGTTAGCACAAGGTTAGTTTAAGTTTTAAATGTTGTTGAGTGAATTTTTTTTTATCTAATTGTGTAATTACACCTTATCTATCATTATTAAAGTTGTCTGCTGATCTTTTGTATAGAATTACACAGATTGTCTGAGCTTCAAGAATTCCCAGTTGACCTTGAACCATATGTAAAGAAACTTATGAATTCAAGAAGAAGAGTTATGCTGGTAAACAATATAGTACAAAATGCTCAGGTACTGGAATCTACATGCTCATGCAATTCTTTGCACTTAATCACAGCCTTTGAATTGATATAGCTTGAAAGATTGTCAAATGCTTGTAAAATATGGGTCATGGCTGGCATGATGCTGTATTTGCTGCCTCATACAAATTTTGCAGCAAGTGGTACCTTGGAGAATACAATTATCAAATTTTAGCTAGTGATAACATACAAACAGGCTATTTATTTTAGCTGTTGATAGCATACAAAAAAGCTGCAAGTTTCATAGTCAACTTGAAATAGTAAGTGCAATAATTACTCCACTGTCACCAAAGATAATTGTTGAAGTTTTCATAAGCACTCCTGGTACCATAAAAATTATGTTGCTGGCTAAAGATGGCAGACTAGTGGGTGTTTTTGGAGTGTGGGTTTATTCTGTGAATGGCAACTGGTTATTTAGCATAGGATGACCATATTGACACTCATTATTCATGACCATCATTGATCCTTTTAGATTTTCAGTCACTTAATAGGTTTTAATACCAAATTATGTTATTTCAAGATTTCACAGAGAGGAGTATGTAAGGCTTTGGTGTCTCGCACTTCAACTGCTAACTTTTGGAATTTTAAATATTTTATTTAGGAAAGACTTGGAAGGCTTCATCAGAGTGTTACAAGAGAAACTGCCAAGAGGAAAGCTCTGCTGGAACCATCTGAGTTTTCATGATAGTGTCAACCAAAATGTACAGTACCTGATTATTAGTGGACAATATTAGGTTGTATAATTTCATAAATTGTTGAGGATATGATGATTCTAAATTCTTTAAAAGTGAAAAATAATCATTTCAAACCCAATGTACCCATATTCATTTTGAAAAGGGGAAGATCATTGTTCAAATAGAAGTCGATTTCTGAATATGGCTATTGGGATTGGGTTCAATATTCAAGTAATCAATCTATTCTTGAAACAATCAAATTGTCAATTCATTGTTGCATTCTTGAAATGAGTTGCAGGTTCAATATTAGAATATTCAATTTATTTAATGTAACCTTGAGGGATGTGCTTTACTAAGTTTGACTGTAATGTACAAAAACTCACTCAAAAATACTACCAACATTGATTTTGGTAAGTAAACGTGGATTTTTCTTGAAAGATTATTCCTAAACGCTAAATAGACTGAAGTGACAGCTTAATAGAGGTGAAAATTACAGTAATTGAGAGGAACAAATTTTTGGACTTCAATAACCAACGGCTTAAATACTGGGTGACTGATCAATATGTTGCTACTAGATACAGGTTCAACTTAATTTTTTAACTGAGGAAGCTCTTTTGATGAACAATAGACCCCACTCACTTGAACTAGGTCAACTCACATCCCCTGGTAACTTGATCTCAATCCATTTTACCTTGATCCCATCTTTTAATCAGGTACTTTCCACTAACTGGAACTCCCACTAACTCACAGCATTTTTTGTTTTCCTTGGGATTTCAAGTTAGGGGGTTCTGCTGTTGACAATCGAGGAAGTTGAGATATGACGTGTATTGGACAATCTTTAGATCAATATTGAGATGTGTAAGACAAAAAAATAAATAGACACACGCCCACAGAAAGTATGTAGAAATTTATCTTGTTTAAATTCAGCCTATTATGTAGACTGTTACATTTACCTTTTGACCCCTATCAGTGACCAGCATCTACTTTCTCCTTACCATATCACCCCTGAATCACACCTGTGTTTAACCTTCTGTTGCTAGTGTACAAGTCTGTCAATGGTCTCTGTCCATCATATGTTTCTGATCCACTCAAGATCAAGTTATCATCAAGATCTTTACGTTCCAGCTCTATGGGCTATCTTGTGCAACCTGTGTCAAAGACAAAGACCTATGGGGACAGAGCTTTTTCTGTGTGCACACCTAAGTTGTGGAACAGTATTCCTTTTTCAATTCGTAAATCTAGCTCCGTAACTATTATTATTAATAATAATAATAATAATTAAGTATTTATATTGTGCAAATTAACATGTCGATATGATCAAATGTGCATCACAACACTGTTCGGGGGACTTTGGCCAGACTGCATCAGCAGTTTACAAACAATTGAAGGAAACATATTTGAAGATGCCCCCTCCCCCCAACTCCCAGTAAACAGGCCAGACCACATCACAGTAATCTCGTGAGTGGGTTCTTTAACGTCCCCTGCCTAACCAAATTATCTAATTAATAGATGCAGAGACGGGACCTACGGTTTATTCGTCCTTATCCGAGAAGACTAGAATGTCTATCCATTTCTTATTAAAGAAAGGTAGCGCATTCNTTAATCATCTGTACTATGGCTTACCTAAGCATCAACTTCATAAAATACAGAAAATACAGAATACAGCTGCTCGATTTGTCACTTGCAAGGGCAAATTTGATGACGTCACTCCCATAGTGGTGCAGTATTACTGGCTTCCTATATCTTATTGTACTGTGTTCAAGCTTCTGTTGCTGGTGTACAAGTCTGTCAATGGCCTCTGTCCATCATATGTTTCTGATCTACTCAAGATCAAGTTATCATCAAGATATTTACTTTCTAGCTCTATGGACTATCTTGTACAAGCTGTGTCAAAGACAAAGACCTATGGGGACAGAGCTTTTTCTGTGTGCACACCTAAGTTGTGGAACAGTATTCCTTTTTCAATTCGTAAATCTAGCTCCGTAACTATTTTTAAAAAGAACATCAAGACTTTTCTCTTTTCAAAATTTGTAACTAGTAATTCTCTTCTGTTTGATTGAATTTTATTTATGTGCATTAGGTTATTTTATTATTTTACAGTATTGTAAAACGCCACGAGAAGCTTTTGATGTGCGCGCTATATAAATATTATTATTATTATTATTATTATTATTATTATTAAGGTTTTATAAGAATCAAGGAAGTGATTACCAACTAAAGAACCTCTCGATTCCTGAGGAAATTCTCCTTGACAGCACTCAAGGAGATTTATAGAGAACAGTATGGCGAGTATGTATACTGATGTTAGGGTGTAAAGAATGCGGTTGTCTGGTGTAGATTTTATTTAGTGGCACAATGGCACTTGCCAACCTAACCCTGCTAAGTTTTTGTGAAGTTTAGAACTCTCGAAACAAGGACGTAGAATGTTTAGGTAACGTGTTTCATTCCGCTTGTAATAAGACCTGGTGCTACATGATATAATCAGGAAAGAAGAAAAGTGTTAACCAATAGTACAAGTTGAAGGTCAAGAATACAAACGAAAATAACCCGAGAGAAAACTCATCAACACCAACAATGAAAGCTTCACGATAAATATTTTCCCACACATTGTTCAAAGATTTCCCACAATTACTTGGCGTCTTGGTTAGTGGAACACGCTTCCCCAGGCTGTCATCTGAGCAGCATTTTAAACACTTTCCGTTTGTGTGGTTGGCTGACTCTTCTCGTCCGTTCCTGAATGCATGGATCACGTTTTCTTCGAGTGTCACCGCTGACTTTTTGCGTCTGCGGGTACTACCATTATGTTGTCTCACACTTTCGGTAAACTGCCAAAAATAATACACACCCGGAAAAATAGTATCAGATGATGTACGCTTGAATTGGACCAAGGAAACAATTAATAGTAAATTATTCGGGAAATAAAACTAAAATTTTGAACCGATAATTGAACAAGAGAGAGTTAAAGTCGTCGAATGCCCACATCTGTTTGATGCACAAAGACACCTTAACAAAAAATTTTCATTCTCGCGTGTAAAGTCGTCAATGTAGTTTTAGAGCATATGGAGATGGATTTGTCATTCTCAACCTGCGATGTCGCCCTGCGATAGACCTTTTTGCTTTACATTACTCCGTTTACTTATCAAACGATCGGTTCCACTTCAATATATAGTTCGACCGACAGAGAATTCACAACAGCATACGAACATTTATTTATTTTCTCCGAGATATTTTGTAACGAATATGAGAAATATGTCTTGTTAAGATTTGTTTCTCACTTCCTTTATAACTCTCAAAATTTTTGATCATGTTACGAACGTGCAAAGGTACTCCTTTGATTTGGCCCCATGCGGTCACGTGACGCGGTTGATTCCCTCTGAGTTAGGTTCTTTCCTTTGTTTTACCTTGTCTTTGAAGTTTTTGAGATCCCTCTTTCTCTGCTCAAACTTTCGCTTTCCACGATCAAGAAGAAGCACGAAGGCATACTCCACCAAAGAACAGAACACAAACAGAAATGATACAATCAAGTACTTGTCAATAGCTTTCACGTAATTCACCTTAAATGTAACATAAAACAGCTCCATTGGTAAAGCTGAAAACCGTATGAGTTCTCAAAGAAGATTACACTTCTTACTAGAACTAAGATGTAGCAATTCTGCTCGTGTGGGAAGTTTCAGCCGGTTTAGTTGTAGCTATGGGTGTCCACAAGACATTTATAATATTCTTGCCATCGAGATCTATCGATTAGGTTCGCAGATTTTGCAATCCCATGCTCCACTGCTGAACTCGATGGTGAAGAGGGTCAGTTCTGGGCAATTAGCAAATTTTTTTCCCTTGTCTCACGTTCGATACAAAATGAAACGTAACTTTCTTTATTCAAAGACCGGGCTCAAAATTTTCTGTATAACTTACTTTTCCCTATGCACAACGAAACAATTTCGGAAAATCCGAATTGTTCTTAGCCTGCCTTTTAAAGAAGCTTTCGGGTGTTCTGTGGCCTAATGGTCAAACTTCTCAGGCAACCCGCTCCACTTCACCCCAGTCCTCCTCTTCTCCAGTTACTACTCTTTTCCCTACACTCTTATCGTTTTTGTTGTTGTTGTTTTTGTTCAGTATTTCAAATCCATACCTTAGGCATGGCGTTGTTGGACATTGTAAGAATGGTTACTATAGTGAGCACTGACGTCACTCCCAGCGTGACGCGGGCAGGAGACTGGCTCCGAGGCAGTAGAAAGGTGAGCCAGGAGAGTGTGACAATAAGGGCACTGGGTCCGTACAAGTGAATCACTTGGTAACTGTACAGGCGCTGTAAGGTGAATGAAGCTTTCACTCCCGACCAGTTACCTTAAAAACAAGATAAACAGGGTAAGCTTTGTAATGAAAAATCTTGGACAGAACAGGTTTGCTAATTGAATCGATATTTTTTGGCGGGGCGGCAGTTACAAAGACTTTTTAAACATTACTAGCGCTGTTAGCAGTTGTACCATGAGAAATAACAGTTTACTGCTTTTCTGTTAGACGTTACGGCTTATGATACCATTAGAACTAACCGATAACATATGTGGTGTATAATAAAGATAACTGTAACTCGGTGAGTTTAAACTGAGGCAACATCTTCATATCACTGGGTACAAAAGACATGCCATCCTCGCTATTGATTTCCCACTTGTAAGCGATATTGTTCATATCATAACCATCTGCCAGAGAATAAACACAAGAAAAAGAAATATTTTGCTTTAATTAGTAATTGAACGATGAAAAACTGTATGCTCGGCCATTGAAATGTTTACCAGGGCACCCATTTTTTTAAATTTGATCTCCAAAAGAGAAGAAAGGTAACTCAGCCTCTTGTAAATGACCTTCCTTATGCTCTGTTTTAGTTGACTCAGTTACGTTAAGGTCGCTAAAGCCATAGCTGTTGTGATTAGTGCTTCCTTATCGAAGAGAAGTGCATTAATTCCTCAGCTGTCAGGACATTGAGAAGGCTGCTTGGGCAGGAAACTTTGTAAAAATGAGTATCAGTTAACTTTTTGGGAGATTTGACGACTTTCGCAGTTGTAACTTGAGAAGGAAAACATCTCATCAGGACGTGAATGTTATTAGATACTAGTAAACGACGTTCACTATTCTGATAATCAGCAGATTATTAGCGCACTGTATACATTAAATACAAAGAGTTAATCTTACAGCTTTCTATTATCAGAGGACAGTGCTGAACATCCATTGGGTAAAGTTTAAGATCCATTGGACAAGAAGCTTTTAAGGTCACCCTGAAAGAATATAATGATGAAAAATGGCTTCCTTCTTTCCTTTCATCTTCATTGATTGATAATTCATTCACCGTTTGCCAAAAAGCCTATGATGTAAGCTCATTTTGGAATAGGATGATGCACAAAAGCGGATCCTGACACAACTTGTGAGAACAAGTATGAGGCATGACGAAATCCGGTGAAGAAATTGCCAAAGGGCTTAATCAGGTCTTGAACTGAGAATCTTTGTTGTGATTGGCTATTGCGATACACTTGGTCTTGGATTTACGACACTTGATAGGAAACACTCTAAAATACTCTTTAAAACAGTTTCCCGTCCCTTTGATTTTGATGTGCCTTAATTCAGAAGCGCTTCTCTCCAACTCTGGCTCTTTTATGACTTTAAAAGGCTATGCTAACATGGAGTGAAAATAATCTTATCGTATCTAAGACCGAAGAGATGTCAAGTTCTTAGCCACGGACACTGGTCATTAAGCCACTTATTACCTTGCGTTGTAATCCACCACCCCACTCGGGCCGATTGTGATCATCATATTTTGAGCAGTGACGTCATGGAAGCTTGCATCCTTAGCATTTTTAAAGTAGCTGTCAGGCAGCCATATCTGGGAGATAATAGTGTTGCTAAGAGACAATGTATCACGGAGACCATGATCAAGCCTAGGGTCCGTCCATCTTTGGCGAAGAAAAATGTCTAAACCAAAATCCTGAGAAAAGTCAAGAAAAGAACTATTGGATCATCGTGGAAAAGCATGCTGATTTAATGAATATAGACATAAGGATTCTCAGAATTCAGCTCAGCCGCAGTATTCCCTCCTTTTCTAATTACAGTTGTTCTTGACGCCATCCTTGTAATTATATCGCCTGTGCTACAGACAAGGCAAATAAAACAGAGAAAGCTGTAATACTTACCATGTTCATTTCGTTAATTGCGTCGATTGCTAAAACAGACTTTACCCAGAATCCCACCTTAACAGTCACTGGCTTTTCTACAAACAAGATATTTAGAAATAATCGTGAATTTTAGAAATCAGAGTAATTAAAAGTTCTAAGTACATTAAGCCCTATGCACAGTGGCCTTTCTTACCCCTCCCCTCCCCCCTCCGTCCGCCACTTAAACCATTAGCGCAAGAATGAGTGCAAGTCCATAACAATCATAAATACTTAGTAACACCATGTAAGTCTTAAAACAGATTCTAAAAGACAATTAACCTCTATTCATTACACAATTTGGGAGTAGCCCGTATGTCTTGCTAAAGTCCTTGGTGTGAAACACAAGTCAGGTAAAAGAAGTGTTGCAAAATTAAACAAACGAACAAACAAGCCAACAAATGTAGAGATGAAATCACAGAAAACTTACCGTTGAAGTAAGGACGGAGTCTGGGATCATAACGAGGGCGTTTGAACAGTGAGTCCAGCCGCTGTGTCATGGTGAGATTTGATAGCTGTTGTTTGCTGTATTGTATGGAATAAAGGAACATGATATAGTGATATATAAGTTAAAAGCGATATAATTAAGAGGTAGGGCGTGTAAATTACTCTATGATGGAAATATTGACTAAGCATTTGGAATGAAAATTTCGTTTATTTTTTAATTAATTTCCGCTAACTATTTTTACGAAAGAACTTCAAGCGCCTATAGAATTCGCCAAATCCGGTCCCAGGAAAGTTACTGTCCTATGGCGCTTTATTTATAGGCAATTGTAGTGTATGCCGATCATTAAAAACACAAGTTTTTATTTGAACGTACAGCGAAATCTAACCACTTACAGCAACTGTCTTCAAGTATGCCGTTTCTCTTCAGTTCCCAAAAATTTGGTTCATGAATCGAATGATTTTACTTTATTTCATCTTGCTATTTCAGGTCGTCTGCCGCTAAAAGGTAGTGCAGGTAATTCTAAAATGATCTCAAATCCGATTTATTAACATCCTAAACATATGGATCAGGTCACATAAGATTAGACACATCTTTACATCTAAGAGAATGAATTTTTTATAATACAACTTCACACAAATAAAACCAACTCTTCTATAATTGGCATTGCACCCCTAGTGCAACTGAGACGATATTCATTTCTGTCACAAACCTCGACCACTTCAAAGAAAATCGTTAAGTTACCTTTCCATCGCGTCTGAAAATATCATCAGTAAAAATAGCGGGTAAAATGTTAAATGGATACCCATGGCACAACGTTCCAATTCACCTGCTTGATTGTTAATGAAGAGAAACTAACACAGCTATGTTTTAAATGACCTATTTAGTGTTTCGCTAAAATCAAAAGCGATACATTATTCATTGTCGTTGCTTCTCTGCCAGGGGAGTTGATCACCATGATAATATCGGCAACTGAAAAGGACTGCTAATCAAGCATAGTACATCTAGTGTAATAATCAGCGAAAAGCAATGGGAAATTTGTTTCAACAAAAGGGATTTAAATGGAACCTCGATGTTCATCGGTCAATTAGCGCAGGTTCACATGGATAAACTCGTCGGGAATCTTCTCGAAATATTTGTAATTAGCAAAGAATAGAAAACGCTTTTGGGAAAAGTTCCAAGCTTCATTGTGAATCGCAGCTAGATTTTTCTGGTTGGTTTTGGTTCCAGTGTAAGCTCATGGCTCTGGCGACGAATACCGTTTTAAAATACTCAAAAGTATCGAGCAAAGGATAAGCGATTGTTGAGTATCATGAAAAAATTCTAGTTGCTAACCAAATATAAATCGTACCCTTCGGTGTTAGTTATTTAAATCGTCATACTTGGAGTGAATAACGAAACTAAAAAGTTAAAAAATCACTTTTAAGCTAAATACTATAAGAAATAAATGCCAAATCCTTTGTTTATATAACTTATTTACACTGTCCCGACACAAAAAAATCCTCATTACCGCTTTTATGAAAGATTTTTTTTTTATTTATTCACTCAGAAGCCACAATAGGCTTAAAAAGGAAAAGTTCAAGACAAAATTAAAGAAAGGTAAACAAACTAAACACGACTACTACGCTTAAAAACTGAACATTTGTTGTTATTTATGAATGGCGACTGAACTTCTGTTCTGTAGGTACAAGCAATGTCGATTGAAAAAAAAAAAAAAAAAAGGAAACGATTCAGGACCTGAAACTTAAATCGGCCGATAATAGCAGATACTAAAGAGGGATCACCAATGTAAGTTAAGCGATTCGAATATTCCGTAACCTGTTACAGTAATTTTAATTTTGAAGTAATCTTGCGCTCTATCTAATTGCACGAGGACTAATTTACCCTCGAACCCTCTCAAAACAATTGAACTGTTACTATCATAGGTGACAAATTACTCCTTAATCTTGGCGCGAAATTTCAGCGTTGATTTTTAATTTCATATGTGAAATTACAAAATTGCCATGGTAACATCTCTTGTATCTCCATCAGAGCCAAGATGGCGTGGAGATTTAAGACGGTGGCCCTTGAAGAAGTTACGAAATTAAAAGCGTCCGAAAATTATTAACAGGCACGAAGAATTCGAAAGGTATTTAATTTTTGTGAAGAAACTCAGAAAATGACGAACTTTAACAATAATGTATGCATTAAACGAAAACTATATTATTATTCAAGTTCTTGTTTTTCGATAGAATAAACCAGTAAAAACAATTACGGTTGTGAACGTAATTTGTCACCCACGATATTAAAAGCCGTAATCAAATGGTTTTCTCGTGAAATTAGGAAATAATCTCACTTGCGTTTTGTCAAAATTCTGATAATTTCCCTCGCCTAATCTCACTCGTCGCCATGTAATTACACCTGCTTATATTCTTTTGCATCCTTCGATTTTTTTTTCTGAGGTACGAAAAATGTTCCAAAAGCAATAGATTAGAACTACGGTGTATACAGTAATTATGTTGCCAGAATAAGTGCACGAATTGCTAAATACGTCGAGCAGTACGAATCATTCACATCGTCTGCGATTGTGAAGTGAAGTGAAAACCTTTATTTAACTTCGAATTACAGATAGCAAACAACTATGCTAATATCTTACATGTGAACAGTTCTGCGATCGTGTACGATCGCGATCGGACTCGATCGCAGGAATAGAACCATGTTCTATTCGTCCGATTGGTTGCGATCATCTGCGATCGAGGCGGTCATATCTGAACAAAGTTCTGCGATCATGCGATTGCAATGTGTCCCATAATGCTATGTTTTCTCAGCGTGCAGCCGCTGCAAGCGGCATGATACCATGACAACCAGTTGTTTATCAACTTTTACACGTGCGTGTTTTTTGACAAGGTGGAAGATGAAAATGACACGGAACAGTTTATGGAAGATATTAGAAAATGCGGTTGTTTGTTCAATCGCTTGAAGACTCCACACTCAAAAGCGACGTTTCTTTTTTGATCTAGCAGCGATTCTCCTTTTAAGTAAAGACAACAGAAGCAGAATGTTGACACCTATTTAAAGTTCAGTGTCCTCGGCGTCCATGTTGGTCGACTGAAGTTATTGTATTGCCGCTGAATGGTAATCGCGGACTCGGTTGTCACTGATCGCTGCGATCGGCTGAGATCATATGTGAACATGCGATCTTCGGTTGAGGGGTTTCAGCGATCACCTACGATCGTCTGCGATTATATTTGAACCTTTTGGATTGGTCAATTCTTCTTCTATCTCCTTTGTTCGTCTCATATCGCGTTTTAACGAGAATAAATTTCACTGAAAAGCACGGCGCTGACGTACAGGCCACGAAAGAGAATGAACTTTTTGTCAAAATAGGATGTAACACTTTTTTCTTTGTTTTTTATATTGTTGTATTTATTTTATCTTATCTTAATTCTTTTTTGCGTTTGACGCCTCGTGACCCCTTACATAGCATGGCACACCTGGTCACATAACCAGAAAGACTTTAGTTTCTCACACGTGTTTTTGCTAGTGTGCCGTCGTTGTTTGTAAGAGTCTTCTTTCACTTCGGTTCGCGCGGAATGTGAGTGGACTTTCCTTTAGTGAGTCTTTATGTTTATTTTGTTATTTTTTAATTCATTTCCTTTAGTTTTCACCGTTTGTAACCGTTTTGTGACCCTTTGTGATCTTCGATTTTTGCGGTTCACAAGTCAATAAAGTTTATCGCCAAAACGCGTCGATTCGCTGTGCCAGCCTCAACATGTACAGAGCTGTTCGTAGGCTGATGATTTTCTTCAGAGGTAGAATTTTACGTTGGGGAGCACGGTTGACCAATTTTAAAACCCCCGTGAGTGTACTTATTCATGAAAAACTCCGTCAATGCAAAAGCAAAAAGCAAGTTAGTGCATAACAAAAATTAATCTGATCAAAGGTAACTCGCTGATTTGGCAATGCACCCGACGCTGGGGCTGTTATCCTTGATCCCAAATACTTATGAGACTCCGTCTGAAGGCACGACCTCGTTTTAAATATTTGAACCAGGAATATAACTAACACTGTCTGCTTTCTCTCTGGTTTATTTTTGCCCTTTTCACTCTCAAACACAAGTCTTTATATTCAGAGGAAAATGTGAAGATGTAAGGCAAGCATTCTTTATCACCAAAGTGTATGCCGCGCGCCATAGGTTGTGGAAACAGTGCCAGAGTATATCGAGCATTTGGCTCAGCAAATATGTAGCGGGGACTGAGAAACAAAACATAAACAGCAGAACCACCAGCATTGAAAACCGACGAGGAACCTTTTGAAGCCATTTGTCTAAACTGATACGAGTTTGACCACCGCTGGAAGGAGACCAACTTTCGATAAGGGCAGGAAAGGAACTGTGATAAGTACAGAGAAAATTGGCGTGGGTGATCTTAAGAGAGTCATGAGCAGGTCAGCTAAACTCGGTTTTTACAGTTGTTTTCCTTTTCTTTTTGTCTATTTTTCCTCCACAACTCAACTGGGCACACATCTAGTTGATATCTGGACGGGGGGAGTCGGTTGCCTGGCTCCGCTAGCCCCTATGGTTATTCCAGGCAGCCAGTACTCTAACTTACACTTTTTAATATTCTCTTTGTTGTAACTTTTTCTGAGCAAGAGTGAGTACAAATAGACTGTTGTTGTTGTTGAAGAAAATTTATCAATAACTGAAGTTTGCAAAAAACGTACGTGAAACTTTTGGAAGCTTAGTCATTTTTCTACAGTTTTGTTTAATGTTTTAAAGGGGCTCTGAAAAAGGATTCAGAACAGAAGCACTCGGGAAGGAGCGGAAACTAGAATGATGTACGCGACAAGCTCATCGTACGTTGTGGCGGGACCTTGCGTCACGTGTGTATCACGTGTTTTTCCAAAAAAGAAAAGATAGCTTAACGCCCTTGTGGCCATGACGTGCCTCGAAATAAATGGTTGCTCAATATGGAAGTCGGTTATTCGATTTTTGTGGTCAGGGCTCTAGTGACAAAATTCACTCGAAATTGAGAAATTTAAGAAATAATAACGGCGTCCTCAAGGTTCAGACAAATCCTTCACCAGTGTTCAACTGCGGGTGTCTAAAAAACAAAGACGGATTAATTAAGAACTATCTCAACTACGGCCTCGGCTGTATCGAAGACCTCGGGCTCAGTTTTATCAAACTGGCCTCCCGCCCAGTAAATAACATGTATACACACCATCACCATCAATTTATGCAGCCAGTTATGGGCTCAGAAACGAAACTTGAGAGACAAGTCGAGAAAACGTAAACAAATGGGAGCTCTCGTGAAGAGAGTTCTATCACTCAAATTAGAGTTTAGGTTTCGTAACCTTTTTAGTTTCATGTAGTTTTCGATAAAGTAATCCATAGTTTTAACCTGTCTCATAGATCTTAATCGCAAAGGAATGATGGTTCTGAACTACAGCAACTGCTCAATCTTTACTCAAGGACAACATGATCTCAATTCAAACTTGCTTTGAAGTTGCCTCTAATGGACACCTTGAGCTTTTTCCAAACGTAAGTTGCATGAGCATTGCATGATCAAATTATTTTATCTAAAGAATCATTAATCAAGAACAATATGAATAAGTTAGCTTTTTACTTTTTTTTTTTAATGCACGACACGAACAGTTCATCCTAAACAACCAAACTACCCAAAGCGCGGGAAAACACGAGTGCTCGGGTTGCGATTGGCGTCAGTTTGAATTTAACTGCATAGGCCGGTGGCACAAGTTTTCTTATACAATTAAATAGAGTGCAGCCGTTTTTACTCAATATATCATTTCTAATTCCTGTGTCTTAGCTAGACATGTATTGCAAAAATGGTAGGAATAACTTCCGATGAGTGGTTCGTTTCCATTTTTTTGTACGCGTCAAGGAAAATTTATCAACGTTCTCTAATTTGTTTAAATAGATTGTTCAGCTAATAGTCCAAACAAAGGCAAACTTAAATGCATTTGTCTCCTGCCTTTGAAACAAGACAGTTGGTAATTCAATTCCATTCTAGATGTTATCAAACTGTCTTTCCTTCATATTCAGTGGGTGTCTCAGGCAATAACGGTTTAATGACTTCCTCTTCCTCCTTGGCTCGTCTCATATCGCGTTTCAACGAGAACAAAGTCAAGAGAAAGAACACAGAGCTGAGGAGGTACAGGCCAGGAAAAAGAATGTACAGAGCTGTCCGCAGACTGGTGATTTTCTTCAGAGGTGGAACGAGGAGTGGCACATTACCACCAATGATGCTGATGATGAACAAATAACCTGCTATGGCGGGTGAACGGATAGAGTTTGGTACAAGTTCGACTACTACAGTGAGTGTTACACCAACCCACATCTCACCAATGACATTTGAGGGAATCAGACTGATGAAAGCCCATGGCGGGGGCAAGAACAAGGCTCCTGCAGCAAATGGCGCAGCAATTATCTGAAAGATGAAAAAAAAAAAAAAAAGAAAGAAAGAAAGAGATGACACATTGAAAAGTGAGGAAATAAGAAATCTCAGATGGAGTGGAGAGGTTAACCCAGGTTGCTAGCAGACTGACCCCTACCCTTTGCTTCCTCGCTTTCCCTTTTCTGAAGGAGAAATGGAGCTTTCATTGTTAGCACAATTTACTCCATAAGACATGTCACTCTTGGCATGCGGCTCCTTCTCCATCAAGGTGGACAATCGGTATCCAGCTTACTGTTAATGAAATGTGACAGGGGGTTGAGACGCCACCAGGATGATCTTTCATCCCGTCAACGAAGAGAAACTAAACTCCAAGTTGTATTGGTGTGATGCCACAGAAACAGGGATAAGGTCTACAAGCTGAAGCCACTAGCATTAGGCTTGCATTCAGATTTCACTCTGTCTCCCCTGTCTCATTCTTTTCTAGTCTGTATCCTCTCCACTTACCTGACTGAATAATAGGACCCAAACTCTGGCATAAAAGCCTCGGTTTTTAATCAACCGATCAGAGATGAATCCTCCTAGGACCACTCCCAAGCTTCCTCCCACCAGAGGGATCCAGCTCATATATTCTCCCACATTAGTTTGAGGGTAATACTTGTTGAAGTAAGGCTGTGTGTTGTACGCCCAAACATAGCCTCCAGCATTCCTTATGGATCCGGCAAGAAACAAGATGAGCAGAGAAGGACGCATGAATGTTCTGCATAACAAAAGGAACTTCTCTCTCAATACCTGTCGCTGTGAATGGGTGACAATTGCCTGAAAATAGTCAAATATACCAGTCAAATATATCTGTCAAACAAAAAATCACACAATATTCTTTCTCTATCCATTCCCGCGTACACTTTGTACTTGACTTCTGTATTCATTCCCTCCAATAGTGGGGGGTGTTTGCTACTTTCCCAAGCAGTCATTGGTCATCAAGCCTAGGTATACCTATCATGGTGCCTAAGTCATGTACCAATAAATTTCATCTTTCACTTGAACATTACAATACCTGTGGATTTGTTTTCTCACTTCTCTCAGGCTCCTTCATTGTGAGCAGCATAACAAATCCCAGCACAAAGCCAGGTGCAGCAGCAATCCAGAACACCCACCTCCACCCTTTGCCATCAATATTAGCTTGCGTAATGAAGTTACCAAAAGCATATGCCATACTGTAACCAATGTAGATTCCCCAGTTATATACACCAAAAGCAGATCCTCGTAATGTCTAAAATATCCATACAAAGTAAGCTTTACATTTATATAGGACACAATAATTTAAGTTTGTTTACTTGATTTTATTGGAAATTCAAACTCATCATAAAATCTCTGTCCTAGTAACTTAGGGAAATGGCAGAATAAAAAACTTCCAAAAAAGATGGCAATGAAGGGAAAGAAAGAATGTCACCATGAATTGTGTGGCTTATCCTAAAGAGTAGCTTGGTACCATGGGACCTAAAATAGGCACAGGAAGACTACAGGCAGTCAGACTTGCAAACATACTTAGCAAAAATACACAAAGTTTCTACATCAAAACAGATGTTTCAATAAATTTTTTTCTGGAAAAAAATAAAAAAGCTGGTAATTTGTCCTGAAACAAGAAACTCCATGACAATGGTGGAAATGTTATAGACTTACCTCAGGAAAATAGTCAGCAATCAAACTGGTTGCAAATGGAGTGCATCCAGCCTCACTGCAAAAAACAAAACAAAAAAACAAGAAAAAAAAATTAACGTGTTCATTGAAACAAAAAATGAATTGAAATTTTACAGTAGACTATTCAATGCCATGAATTCAACAATATGAATATGAGCCATTATTATCACAATGCAGTATCTTGTGTAGTTGCTCACATGTGTAGAGAAAAAAAAAATGTAAGACTCTTAAAATAACTCTTATTCACATTGCCAACAAAAAAATTATGCGGAGACCCTTAGCCAAAGATCAGAAACCTTTTAGGGCTCATGACACAACTGACATATAGGGTGAGATGTAGTAAGAAGAGTTCCTGAACAAGTTGAAATTAGCTAGTTACTTTACTTTTTCTGTTATTTCACTCACCCAATCCCAAGAATAAATCTTGTCACAACTAAGTGCCAATATTTGGTGGCGAAACCTGTCAACAATGTCATGGTGCTCCACAGTACAAGACAGAAAACAATGAGGTTTCTACGATGAAAAACTCCAGCACAGAATCCAAGAGGAATACCACTGATTGTGTACACAAGGATAAAAACTGGACCTGCAAGGATCTGATAGTCGCTTCCTGTTCCATCATAATCCCATGCACACACATGTTGGGTGGAATTGTGAGGGGTTTTTAATTCACATCTGAAAAACAAATAGCAAATTAAAGCATTTCCAACACATTGTGAATACAGGTATGGTGCTGTAAATGAAGCATGGTACACACAATTTTCATAGGAGTGGACATATCATTTTTTTTTTAATTATTTCATTGAAACCACGTTTAGTAGCAACAAAATGAATGCATGATTGCAAGGGTTTGGCTTTGTCCTGTTTTCTGACTGGCCACGAAGTTTTACAGCAGCCCATCAAATGCTAAACTAAAACCAATCACAATGTGTCCATTTGGGTTCTTATTAGTTTCTTTTGATATTTTCCTTCCCTTGCGTTAGCCATTGTGATCATTTGGGGAGGGGGACATTAGGGTTTGCGGCATTGTGGTGTTGACCCTTTTTGTAATGCCATATTGCAGTGAAGAACAACTCACATTGCGGTGTTGCGGTGATCTCAAACCTTAAAGCGTATGATGTTTGTAATTTCAAAGCGATGGTTTTTAGTGAAATAAACCATTTCCAGCATTGCAGTTTATTTTTTAACTTTTAACAAATAGATTTTGATAACCCATGATTAATTGTCGAACAAAATCAGCAATACATCCCCATTAATATTTAATAAACATTTGTTGATTAATCCAGGCTATGTTCGTTAATATTTACTTGACCGCTGGACTTCTAACACGCAAAATATCAACTAGCCAACAACCAGCACATGGTTAAGAAGAGTGGAACCAGACCAGGTAAATCCTGAGACTTACACTACACCCCCGTGCTGGTGTGTTAGTAATATTCCTTGTGGTGATGTGATGTTTGTTCTATTTTGTTTTGTAATGTTGCAGCATTCTGAACCCCCTATGTCCCCCTCCTTGGGTCTTAGTCTTGCGACACTGAATTGAGAGTGCTCAAAGAAAAAGAAGGAGCTCTACTGACAAACACCGTAACACCATTCATTACATTAAGATTTTCTTCCATTTCTTAAATACATTATGATATATTTAAATTTTTTTCGTTTGCTTTTTTGATTGTACGATTTTGTACCCTACACTCCTGCCCCTCTTCATTTTTAAACTAAAATGGGACGTGACAACTCTGGTATTCTGAATTACGAAACACATTGAAATTACGTAACTTTATTGCGTTAATTTTAAAAAAGAACTATTACGCGATAATTAGGCCGAGCACTGCTTGTTTCTAGCATGATAAGAACTTCTACATGATCAATCATATTCAATAATTTTCATTACCCTTCTCAGACAGTCTAACAAAGATTCATACTCAGAAGATTTACAGTATTACATGTAAGTGGATGACAAGGGCAAATAATTTATTTCTGGCTTATTTCAGAGAGCGCTACTCCAGCTAACTACATGAATCAGAACTTACATAGTTTGGTTTCTCTCAGGTTGACTGCTGTCCTTCTCACTTTTCACACAGAAGTCTTTATATTTAGAAGAAAATGTGGAGTTGTAAGGCAAGCATCCCTTATCACCAAAGTGTATGTCGTGCGCCATAGGTTGTGAAGACACTGCCAGAGTGTATCGATCCAGTTGGTTCAGTAAATATGTACAGAGTAAGAGAAACAAAACATAAACAGCGTAACCACCAGCCTTAAAAACCGACAAGAAACTTCCCGACGCCATTTTTTTAAGTTGAGACGAGTTTAATTTAGCAGGCGCTGGAGTGGGACCAGCTTTCGACAGACCCAGAAACGGAAACGAATATAATACAGAAAGTTCGCATGAGGTATCTCGTGAGTGTCATGAGAGCGTATATTAGACATAGGTCAGCGGTCGAAAAAGACGTCATGCTCGTCATGCTATATATTCTTTCATTTCACGTGACTTGACATGAAAAGAAACTTTGAAAGTTCTTTGACACTCAACGGGCAAAGGCCTCTTGAAATATCCCTACTTTCGCAAGTTTTATTTTTTATCATGGCAAGGCTTACCCTGTCGAAAATAGAACAATTTTTGATATCTCTGATTTCATGTCACGCGATTAACAAAATTCGCAGCCGAGGAAAAATCCACGAGCGGAAAACTATCGATCAATCTAAGTGTCAAGTGTATTTGGCAATGCACTGTGAGTACGTGTTCCTTTTTTCATGACGGAAGGAGAAACAGTATGTTTAAAATCACTTACTACTGCCAGTTTGCTTGTTGGAATGATATGCGTGACACCGTTGTCGCGATGTTTTAGCTCATATCTTAACAGCTGTTTACCACACAAACTTTAACACTACAGCAGGTCGTGAACTGACCTTAGCACTGTAACAATTATCACGAATGCAGGTCGAGTATTTCGCTGGGCTTTTGTCACACGTGACAAAATTTGTTGTTAAAGATACTCCGTGTGCGAAAAGAGATACTAAGTTCATTCCTAGTCATATTAGAGGCCCGTCACCTCGGATCCCTCGTGGAACAAGGAAATGGCCGGTTAAAATTATTTAGGGTTCGAGATATCCCAGTGTGACGACTAGAGGTTTACACAGTCACATGTTTGAACTCGAGAACACAAAAACAACGTTCAACAGAACGGCACTAAGTCAACTGGAAATCAATGATGACTTCAACTGGGAGCTTCGATCAGGGGGAAATGTGACTGATTTCAAATGCATTTCAATGATAGCAATCACAAAGAACATAGAGCAGTTAGGATTATTTTTATTTAAAAAATCATTGCAAAAGTTACCCTTGATTTATTTCCTATTCAAATTCCTATAAATTCTAAAATAGGAAATTAATTCAACTCAATTTAGCGTCACGCATATGTATATATACACACTTGATTGCATTAAATAAAACTCTGGTACACAACTACCACTGTTTTCAAACAAAACCTTCCGATAAGCTATCATAGAAAGCTTCCTAATGTTTTTTAGTTCAAATAAGGCTAGTTCATACATACAGACTAGCTATACATTATATTCTAACCATTTATGAGAGACTGACAAAACAACTAGGTAAGACAAAAACGAATGCGTTAGGAAAACAAAATTGACGATGGTAAGGAAGATACCTTTTTGCGGTCGCTTGCCATTTCAAACACCTGAAAATGACGGTATATGTCGAAGTAACAACTTCTTAACAACAACCTTAAGAGCAAATGAGATGTACCTAGGATAAAGCGCTGTTGCAAAAATCTCCAAAACCAGGGGAATTTGAGTTAAAAAAATAAATAAAACGAAGAAAATAAGAAAACCTTATGAAGGAAAACGTCTCCTAGTAAAAACAAAGTTTACAAAAGTACGTCCTGACAATTCTCATTTCTACCAAACTTCGGTTGCAATTTCACATGTCGCGCGTAAAATAAAAAAAAAAAAAAATAGTTCTACTTTTGGAATATTCTCCAAAATACCTAAAAAAAACTAACCTTTTGTCTTATTTCATTTTGAGCCCAGTGTATAGTTTTGGATAGTTAGTTGAGGGGTGTTGCGTAACACAACCTCTCACAGAATAGCTTCCAAAGAGTGGTCGTTGTCAACACATGGCAGGTGGTCGATTGAACCAATTCTGCTTTCAAGCAGAGACCGAAACGCACAGAAAGGCACAGAGTGGTCTTCTACAGATCAACCCGGGGTTGATTACTCTTAACTTGTCATCTCAGAGCGACACAACCTTTTATATGAGCCTTTCTGGAGGAGGCGGCTTCAGCATGGAATCCAATTCAACACGCCCTGCCTCTAATTCTTCCTTACTAGGATTATATGTGCCATTTGATGTTCTCTTCTTCATAACAATTACCAATAAAAAGAGCAACAACATGGCGAGGACACAAGCCGCTATAATTCCTCCGATCAGGAAATATTGACTGACTGCTGTCTTTTCAGAGGGATCGGTTTGTTCCTGCGAAGTTTCACACCGTGAACCTGTGAAATAATCCCGACAAAGACACGAAACATTCCCAGTCTGAACGTTGGTTTTGCAAGTTGCACCGTTCTCGCACGGACTATTGTTGCAGCGATCTACATACTGACATGCTTCACCCACCCAACCAGACTCACACTTGCAGCGAAATGAGCCGTCAGTAGAGGTACATGTGCCACCGTTTTGACAAGGATTCGAATCACATTTGTTAATGAGCTCGCTGCAATTCTTTCCTGTATAACCTTCGTTACACACGCACTGAAAAGTGTCCATTAATGGAAGACAACTCCCATTGATGCATGGATCGGGATCGCAGAACTTCAACAAGCCACTACAGTTTACATTACCAAATCCTTCAGTACAGTTACAGAAATACTTCCCTTCCGCGTTCAAATTCACGCAAGTCGCGTTATTTCTACAGGGGTCAGGTGAACAGTAGTCGGTGACGTTCTCGCAATTTTGTCCGTAGAACCCGAGTGGACATGCGCAGGAATAATTACTAGGGTTGTAGAATTCTTTACAAGTAGCTCCATTCTGGCATGGACTGCTGTAACAAGCTTGGAAAACAGAGCAGTTTTCTCCCTTATACTCGGGTGTACATTTACACCCATACTTGTTGTAGGCCAACCTCTGACACGTAGCATTGTTCTTGCAAGGATCAGATTCACACGGGTCGATTTTCTTTCCACATCGCTGTCCTTCAAAATCGATAGTGCAGTTACACTTATAACCCGGGAACATACGACTGGTGGAGTTTACATGGCTATCAATGCATGTTCCGTTATTCATACATGGCTCGTCTTTGCATTCATGAATATCATTCTCACACAATGTCCCATTATACCCCTCAGGACAAGAACAGCTAAAAGCTGTTGCATTATCTGAACAATTACCACCATTTTGGCAAGGTTTTTTAAGTTCGCAATACGAACTAAAGTCATACTGACACAGTTCTCCAAAGAACCCTTGTTTACAGTCACAGCTGAAGCCGCCCACAAAGTTAGAACAGTTCTTTGTTCCTGTTGCGTTACAAGGACCAAGTGGCTTCGTAACTTCACATTCATTAATATCTTGCTCACAGAAAGTTCCATTAAAACCAACCAGGCAGGAGCAACTATACGAGCCGATTCCGTCGACACAAGTAGAATTGTTAGTGCAGTTGTTATTTGCACATTCGTCGATGTTCGTTGAACAGTTTTTTCCAGCGTAACCCCTGACGCATGAGCAGTTATAGTCGAGGTGAAGATCAGTGCAGTTCGCGCCATTTTCACACGGATTAGGGTCGCATTCGTTCGTAGCATTTTCACAAAGCTTCCCTTCAAATCCTGGAGGGCACTTGCACTCAAACATATCAAATCCTACGTCACTTACTTGTTTCTGATTGGTTGCCATGTCAACGTAAGTCACGTTATAGCACGTGCCATTGGCGCACGGGGAATGAGCGCAAGTCATGTTGGCTGTGAGATTACAGATAGACCCCGCCCATCCTTCTGGACATGCGCAATTAAACAGGTTCCATTCATCACTGCACGTGCCCCGTAAACAAGGTGCCGGACCACAAACGTCATCACTGTGGCAACCGAACCTCAGTTCTGATGTGTTAACTTGGAAATGAGGCTTCAAAGGAGTCACATGACTAACATTCAAGGTGCTGTTGTAGTAATCAACAAATGATAGCAGCAGATCACCAATACGCACGTTATCTAGACATCCTTTGAAGGCTGACCCGCCCACCACAACTGGAGTACTGTTTAATAAGCTTGTTATATCATTGCTTGAAAGTTTGGAGGAATCCATTGTAGTGGAGCCATCTACGGTCACAAAACTCTGATTATCAGTGATGTTGAACGCGATTTAGTGCCACTGGCCGTCATTTACTTGATCATCTAAAAGAAAAAGAATACAAAGCTTGATAAATAACCGGAAAGTGAAAACATATGAATATAAAGGAGGTAAACGCCACTCGTGGCCATTTTACCGAAACAATATACTTAAATCAAATTTCCCAAAATATACCAAGAAATACCACGAATGGAAATTTTCAGACGACAAAAAGGCCTCTCTCGTCGCTAATACTTGACCATCTTGCGAGAGTATAGCGCATTAGTTGAAGTCAGTAGAACCTTATCTTACCTGAGGATATTACTCCACTGTCTCCATTCAGAGCAAAACTAATGTTAATCCGTCCATCGTCAAGTGCCATCTTGAAAAATTTGTTGTAGTCGTGACGAATGTGAATCAACACTGCTGAGGACTCCCTTGTTCGTACTCGTAAAGACGCATCCAGGCTGACATTAACACTGGAGACGAAGGTAAATTCTGCTCGAGTTGCACTGCCATTGAAAGTGAAGGGATGCACACCTAACACAGAGATAAATAACTTAAAAAACACGTGAAATAAACTTCAAAATTGGAGAGTTCAATTCCATTCCATGAGCGCTTTTAGTTACAGTAAACAAGTCATCGTTTTGGCTGAAAGAAATCACTCTCGTGGGCAACCTTGTGGTCACACTAACACTGACCGCGATGGTGACGTCAAGAACTGGTGACTCAACTTTAAGTAAGAGCGGGAAATCTTTGAAAGCTGATTAAAATGACAGCTGTTATAAAATGTGAAGTTAACAAGAGGGAATTTCAGCATATATATTCACTACATATTGATATTCTACATATTGACATATACTACATATTGACATACACTACATACTGACATATACTACATATTGACATATACTACATATTGACATATACTACATATTGACTGCATATATATTCACTATATATTCACTACATATTCAGCATATATATTCACTACATATTGATACGAAAACTATACCTGATGACTATAAATTCTTTTTTTATAAGCACTTACATTCATAATTTTCTCCGATATCCAAGCAGGTGGTATTATGAGGGCACAGGTTAACCAAGGAGCAGCCGTACAGTGCACAGTCCCGGCCACCGTAGCGAGGTTTACACTCGCACTGATATTTGTTCCACAAGTCTTTACAGAAGCCTCCATCACCACACGGTAATGATCGACACACGTTCATTCCCTGACAACCTTTACCCAGACCACCTGACTCGAGTAAGATGTAACGATCCGTGGTAATTAACGAGGCATCATTAAATCCGAAGTCAAACAGTCTGTTGTTCAGTTGAAGGTCCTGTAAACAGCCTCGAAATGGAGTTCGAATAATATCAGCTTCCGGGTAAAGAGAGAAGTCATCAAGTCCTCCAAGGTAGGTTACAGTCAACTTGATATCTTTGTTAATAATGGGTCCCTTGACCATAGTGAAGTTGTCAAAGCGCGACATGTTGTTTCGGATTGCAACAAAGTGCCAATGTCCATCGCTAACACTTCCATTTATGGTAAAATTGGAGGTGTGTCCATTTGAAGTGGTTTGTACAAACAACATTCCTTGATCAATCACAACACTAATATGATGACCCTGATTATCTGTCATCAGTATTATTAATCCTCTCATTTCCCGAGTTCGGATGAAGAACGACAACTCAACAGCTGAGTCAAAACTAGTGCCATTAGTGAAGAATTTAGCAAAGGAAGCGTTACGCATGCTCTCAATACTACGTCGCCGTCTGCTGCTACCAATGTTTAAAGGTTCAGTTGCACCAAACGTTCCCGGCGTCAACGCTAAAAAGAAAAAGGTAAGAAAAGAAAAGATTTGAACTATTGTGGAAATTCTATTGGAAAGAGAATCTGGGAGACCCGTTGCCTCGATCTTTCTGGAGATTATTGAAAATTTTTCGTGATAACCGGGGTCTAAGAGTCACTCTGCGTGACTGCGTAAAATTACAGTATGCTGTTAGAAAGATCAGATAACGAGATAATGGCTTTCTGTCGTATTTGGATTTACTTTGGGCAATAGAATGTTAAAGTATGAGAGCCGCTACCGACTAAAATAATAAAATCACACTAAAACCGAAAAACTGAAGCTTTTGACACAAAAACCGAAAACTGATACGAAAAATTGCTATTAAAGTGATATTTGTACTCGTCTCGTCTCGTCCGTTATTTGTACTCTACGAAGCGCAGTTGGATAATAATTTGTGGCATTGACAAAGACCAAGTTACATACAAACTCAATTAGACTCACTTGTATTGCAGCGCGGACCGATCCAGGGTCGTGTGCAATCACAGCTGAATTTGTTCCATTCGTCAACACATTGTCCATTTGTACAAGAGTTAGATACACACACCTCTTTTCGAGGACACCCAGTCACAGTGTTGAACAATTCCACTTCTTCACAGCTGGGGATCACTGTCTCCATATCAATCATTACATCTTGAATACAACCAGTGAAATTATACAGGGTGTTGTGAAGATAGTTTACAGGAAACGAGGATCCACCGATGTAGAGTTTTGAAACGTCAACGTTTGCTTGTAGATCATTTGAAGACGTCTTGCAATGCTCGCCACAAGATGAGTTATCTACAACGAGAACTAAGGAGTCCGCAGATGTGTTGATAAAGACAGTGTGCCAGAGTCCATCGCTAAGATTAGCCTGTTTGCCAGCCGAAAGTTTCTTAGTGTTATTGTACATTATGTGCACTTTATTATTATCAAGAAATACAAGAAAATTGCTTCCTGAATCAGCACCTAATAAGCCGTGATTTAGAGTTGTCCTGAACTGGAAAGAGAGTTCAAACATTTGTTTTCCGACGTGCAAATTCATGAACGAGGAGCCATTTAATCCGACTGTGGTTATATTTTCACAAAGTACCCCTCCAAAGCCGGCTGCGCAAGTACAAGTGAAGTTGTTGTTTCGTAAATCACAGGTGCCATTATTCTTGCACGGATTAGGAATGCAAGAAGATAACTCGAGCTCACAGTACTTTCCTGTAAAGTTGGCTGTGCAAGTGCAGTTGACATCAGCTATGCCATGCATACATGTTGCATTATTCTGGCATGGTTTAGACTTGCATTCATCAATGTCGATGGAGCAATTTTTACCTGTGCATCAAAAGATGAAAAGTTTCAGAAAAGAATGTAATTTTTTTGCGAATCGGCTTCCATGAATGGTTAAATGACCTGGTAACCAGGTGTATAACGGCCATCTGCTATGAGGTATTGGGGCGGAAAGAAATACCCTGTTCTTGGCCTTGACTTGTAGTTTGGGTAAAATGCTAAAGGCTGTCAGTCTTAGGGACACTTTTTTTTAATGTGCTATCTGATGCCGCAAAACCACACAAAACGATTTCCCTGGAAATCTTTTGTTTGAAAAAACCAATCGAACGAAATTTAGAAGTACTGTATTTCATTACGAGTAGTCCTATAAGTACTATTAGTACTGTATACTTCTCGGTCCATAAAACGCAACACTGACAACAAGAAAGAGAAGAAAATATCCACTCTGACAGAACAAACAAGCTTTGTCAAAAAACACCATTCAAGAGGAAATAATCAGAGAGGGACAATCGGGACATTGGTATGGATGCGTTGATTCCATTGATCAACCTTTCCGATTGTTTTCTCTTTAAAGTCCATATGGTAAATATTCCCTCAAAAAAGTCCATTTTCTCTTTTTCCTCCAGACTGCTTTAATAACAGTGACACTCGGAAAACAGATACAGCTCAGGTTTCTTTCGAACGTTTCAGAAAACTGACTTCCGTTTGAGAGGACTGTCTCTAAATAACTCTAGTGAAATTGACCTACTCTGGGAACTTCCCTCTCTGTCTCTTCATAATTTCTCTGAGGTATTCATGTTTATTACCTTCATATCCTGGCTGGCATGCACAGTTGAAGTCATTTATCAGATCTGTACATTTTCCACCATTTTCACATGGGTCTGGTAAACAGTCATTAATATTTGTGGAACAGTTGTAGTCTGTGAAGCCAGGTGAGCATGCACATGCGTAGCTACCTAAACTGTTAATACATGTTGCATTATTCTGACAGTATCCAAGTTGACACTCATCAATGTCCTCATCACAGTTTTGTCCTTTCCAGCCAGATGTACAGGTACATTTGTACTCGTTAACTCCCTTTCCATCAATGCACTTTGCCTGGTTTTGACAAGGCCTATGTTGCAAGCAGTAATCCACATCAACGTGGCAGTTTTCACCTGGAATAAAAACAACACCCGTGGGTATTCTTCAAACTAAGTCAAGCCCTGATGTATTCATGGGGGAGGGGTGGGGATTTATGCTTACGTTAAGAATGAGATTTAGTTTGGAAGCACAGAAGCTTCCACTCTTGTCTGGATCTGGTGGGATCGCGGACAACGTCAAAACACTTGCGGCGGGGAGGAGATCAAGCAGCGTTGGGGCAACGTTGACCGATGAGAACATGGAAAGGAAGTCACATGACATATCGGGTTATCAGTGCAAACTTTCTTATGAAAAGCTCGGATACAATAAATCCGTGCGGAAGGGTTCCATCAAATAAATAGCATATTATTTTAAGAAATAATAATATAAGTTCCTTTCTACTGCAACAGATCCATTTGTACGTCCTCTGGTATCTTTTTACTTTACTTTACTGTATGGCGGGCAATGTTGGTGTTTTAAGTATACTGATTTCCAAATTGCTCTTGACATTAACGACCTACAGAAAAGTTTTATTTTTAGTATGTTAAAAGAAATGCTTGTATTAACATGTTTTTTCTTTGTCTCTTGGGCCAACAAAAGTTTAATAACTTCCTTTTTTCTAAACTTTAAAGATCTGTCTGGATCTAAATTATTTGAAGCATAATACAATACCTGTAAAGCCGGGGGTACAGAAGCAGACAGCTCCTTTCGTACGTTTATCGCAATTTGTTTTGGTGACGTCGATGTTTTGACATAAACCTTGACCCTTATCCACACTGCACTGACTTTGATTGGCACATTCATCGATATCAGTCTCACAGTACAGGCCTGTAGTCCATGGATCACAATCACAACGGAACGCCCCAGGAAGATCAGTGCAACTCCCACAGTTACACGAAACACCTAACAAAATGGGTCACACTCAGACACTGCACATAGCATACTACAGGTACATGAACTATTAAGAACAGTGAATGACCAAGACACTAGGCATGATGTCTGAAATTTTTTGCTCAAAATACAGCAAGAGATCCAGTGGCCTTGAGCTTACATTCGTGAACCCTAATTCCAATAGTAGTAAATATTGGCATAACACTAACTTTATTTTAAGATTTAATTATGTCCAGCATGGCCATGGTAATATATAATCTATGTGTCCTCAGACTTGAAACTTACCTTCACACTCATCGATGTCATTCTGACAGAAGGTACCATTGAAACCAGTAAAGCACTCACATTGGAAACTGCTGTTGCCAGCTTTACATGTTCCATTGTTACAGTTAACTGACAGGCAATAGTCATTAAAATCATTCTCACACTGACTGCCATTAAATCCTGTATGGAATGGAAAGTGAAGATTTTTCAAGAGAATACTGATCAAACTAGTTTTATTTAGAAAGGATTAATTGATTTTGATCTCCATAATAGAGTGAGTTATTGCGGTCCACCAACCACCAACACATCAAATATTGAGTGGATTCCTCAAAGCAATGTTGATAATATGTGTGAGGCGCAACCTATTAAATCAGCATTCCATAATAACATGGCCCTGAACAGCCAGTTTATCAATATGTTATTCTCCACTTATTGCTATTGCAAGATGGTTGATGAGCATAATGCCCAATTCAGTTATTAAGTGACACAAATTTTGAAATATTCTTGTCCACAAAAGGTGTCTGGTTGAGCAAATTACAACCTCAAGTTGCATGTTGCTAGTTAAAATTACAGCTTATGTCTGCACTGTCTTAACAAACTACTTTGTTTTTAAACACAGACCAACCCTCTGTTACCTCTGCACAGACTCACCAGGTTTACAAACACAAGTGTAATTATTGACACCATCTTTGCATGTGGAGTTGTTATTACAGTTGTGATTCACACAGTCATCAATGTTTATCTCACACAGGGTTCCAGTAAATCCATCCATACATCCACATCTGTAGCTGCTTATTTCATCAATGCAAGTTCCTTTAATGAAAGTAAAGACTTGACAAGGTTAGCAAGAGAAAGTACCGCAAGGAGATTTTCATGCTACAAATGTTGGCTGCAGGTACAAATTCTTAATCTTCATTCTCCCATGGTCTGCCATTAGATATAATCAAGGCATAAGATATGAACTTGTTAAATAGTTCAAAAATAAATACCATCCCCATTTTATCCCAAAGAATAAGGCTGATTTCATCCTAAAGAATAAGGCTAATTCAAACAAAAAGATTACTAGCAGTTAACTTCTTGATTGATACACATATTAACAGGGTTTCTCAAAGCCCTGGCCCTGGTTACAGAAATAAGAAATTTTGTGGTCTCAATTAAGGACTGTGGTTACTCTATATTGACTGCAATTGTCTTTTGCTAGCTATTATCAACTATAATACATGAATGCCTTTTGGTTGACCTGCGTGACCTGCATGCATGCATGCATGCATTTGTGGTTCCCAGGTTCCACATATATATGTTATATATATGTTATA